TTGACCGACTGAGCCACCCAGGCGCCCGAACGTAGTCTTTCAGTTCTTAAAATGGTTAAACATAGAGTTAGCACTTGACCCAGAATTTCACTCCTATGTATATATACAAGAGACGAGAAAGTGTGTAGCAGCATTATTCACAATAGCCAAAATGTGGGGACAACTCAAATGTCACCTGATGAATGGACATATTTTTATTATTCCTGCATAAAAAGGAATGGAGTCCTGACAGTACAGCAGGGATGAGCTTTGAAAGCGTCACGCTGAGTGACGAGCCAGTCACAGAGGATCACGTGTGATTACGTTTCTGTGAAACATCCAGAGTAGGTAGATGGTCCATTAGTGGTTGCTTGATACTGGGGGGCTAGAGAGTTGGGAGGTGATAAAGAGCACTGGGTTTCTTTCTGGGGGGTTAACATGTTCCAAAATTGATTGTGGTAATGGTTGCCTAAGTCTGTGAATATATTAAAACAGATATCACTACACATCTATTATAATGGCCCAAATCTAAAACACTGACCTCACCAGATGCTGCCGATGATGTACAGCAGTTAGAACTTTCTTTCATTGCTGGTGGGAATACAAAATGGTATAGTCACTTTGGGAGGTAGTTGGGCAGTTTCTTACAAAACTAAACATACTCTTAGCTAACGTGATTCAACAGTTTTCCTCCTTAGTATATACCTGAATGAATTGAAAACTCCTATCCATGCAAAACCTGCACACATTTACTAATAATTGCCCAAACTTGAAAGCAATCAAGATGCCCTTTAGTAGGTGAACAAATAAGCTGGTACATCCAGACAGTGGAATATTCAGCATAAAAAAGATGGAGCCATCAGGGGAAGGAAGCTAATCAGAAAAGACTGCATACTATAGGATTCTAACTATGTGACATCCTAGAAAAGGCAAGACTATGGAGACAGTAAAATGATGAGTGATTGCCAGGGCTTAGGAGGGAAGGAGGAATGAATAGAGCAGAGAGGATTTTTAGGCAGTGGAGCTCTTCTGTATGATTCACAGTGGCGGATACTTGTCATTATACATTATCCTAATGTAGACTATGGGCTTTGATAATGTGTTATTGTAGGCCCAGCGAGGATCTCACACGTACTGCTGTGGTGAGGGGTGTGGACAGTAGGAGCTTTTGTGGGGGTGAGGCAGGGAGTGTATGGGAACTCTGTACCTGCTGCTCAGTTTTGCTGTGAGCCGGACATGGCTCTACAAAATAAAGTTCATTAGTTTAAAAAAGTGTCTGAGACTTGTCTCATCATAGTGTGCTGTGGATTGCACATGGGGGGATAGGGCAAGACTACCCATAGGTCTGTGATTGCTGGAGCTGGGTAGCGGGTTCATGAGGCTTATAATAATAACTTCTGAATCTGGTAGGGGGCATCTCCCCACTTCATTCAAAACTATGGCGTTTTTATTAAACTACGATGGAAAACCTTGTATGTGTACAAGAGTAGACGAAATAGTACAAGTACTGCTGTATTAGGCTAGACAGTGTAGATGGCGTTATAAAAATGGGAACATCCGTATGGAAAAGGTAGATTCGTATTCCACACCTGCGTGCCCACGAAGGTGAGAGCCGATGTATTGGTAGTGCGGCGTTGCTGTTAACGAGTGAGGTAGTTACGTGGATTAACAATCTCAGAAGCGGTGTTGAGGGGTAGAGGTGATTGCAGAAGGGTACCAGGCTGTGAGAGCCTTAAGGTTCAAAAACCTGCAAGAGAGTATAGGTGTAAAATATGCATGGTTGTGATACCTCCAAATTCCTGATAGTTGTTACTTCTGAGGGAGGTGGGGCGTTTGTAATGTTTTATTTCTTAAAAAGAAATTGAAGCAGAAGTAACAGTAATATTAAAAATTGATGAAGCTCGGGCACCTGGCTGGCTCAGTCAGTGGAGCACGTGACTTTTGATCTCGGGGTCGTGAGTTCAAGCCCCACATTGGGTGTAGAGATGACTTAAAAATAACACCTTAAGAAAAAATGATGGGGGCGCCTGGGTGGCTCAGTTGTTAAGCGTCTGCCTTCGGCTCAGGTCATGATCCCAGGGTCCTGGGATCGAGCCCCGCATCGGGCTCCCTGCTCCGCGGGAGGCCTGCTTCTCCCTCTCCCACTCCCCCTGCTTGTGTTCCTGTTCTCACTGTCTCTGTCATATAAATAAATAAAATCTTAAAAAAAAAAAATGGTGAAACTAGGTGATAGGTAATAAGTGTCCATTACAGAGTTCTGTATATGTGTCTCTATGTTTGAAGTAGTCTATAAAGTGTTAGTATAAACAAATAAAAGTGTCTTGTTTGGGTCCTAATTCAAACAGATCTTCCAAAAGACATTTTTGTGGCAGTTGGAGAAAATTTTACTACAGCGTGGGTATTAGATGGTATCCAACGTGTTAGGGGTGACAGCAGCACCGTGTTTGTATAAGGAAGTATCCATGTTTTTAGAGATGCATGTTGTAGTATGTTAGACGATGTTATATTGTTGCTGGGGCTTATTTTCAAAATACTTCATAGAAAAAGGATGGTTGACATAAATGGGGCCAGATCTTGGTGCATCTTGGCGATGGGTACGTGAAAGATTGTCTTACTAGATTCTCAGTTTCAAAGCATGTTTGAAAATCTTTATCACTACATATACAAAACCAGAATGGATAAATAACTGTTCTTTAATAATAACTTGTTCCACTGGCAGACAGATTTGAAATGTTTTGGTACAGAAAATGTGGTTTTTCTAACTTTTAACCTCTGTTTCCTCATTTAAATATATATAAGTTAATATGTAGCATATAAGTAGATCTGATCTAAATATGCATAAAGCAAGTCAGGAACAAAATTGGACCTGGTCTTCCTTCAGGCCCTCTGTACTGCTTTTAACTCTGTGGAAACATGCCACAGGTTCGTATTTAGGCTTGGTACTTGCAGCTTTTCTGCTCACAGTGACACGATAGTGTATATATAGCTCTGGGTAATTTCCAGGAAGTAAAAAGGAGCGGGGATAATCAGCATGAGCAGGTGTGAGGGTACAGGCTTGAGCCTCGACAAAATTGTAGCTCTCAGAAATGAATGAGGTATTCCAAAGATAAGGCTTTTTCTTTTATTTCACATTTTACAAAACACTTTCACACTCAGAATGTGGAGCTGACACACACAGCTTTCCTTCTGTGGCTTTGTGTGTTTAGTCTCGGGGTCACTACCACGCAGCCCCTCACTGTTTCCTACCTGTCTGTCTTTCCTTCTAAAAAGGCATTCCTTTCTGCAGTTAATGTTCTTATCACTTTCTCAGGCTAGAGAGAGGAGAGAATCTCAAGCAGTCTCCCCGCTGAGCCTGGAGCCTGTGGGGCTCTATTCTTTCACCCCGAGATCACGACCTGAGCTGAAACCAAGAGTCAGACGCTTCACCGACTGAGCCACCCAGGCGCCCCCAGAACGTTTTACTAGCAGTGCCGAAGCGACGTGAAACAGATGTTGAATGACTTTACTTAGAATTAGCGTGACCAGTGTTTCCCGTTACCCAGACTGCCAAACTTAATTCCTGCGTGTTTGAGAATGATGAATGTCCTCACGATGTTGAAAAGTTCTTCAATATTATTGATTTGATTTTTTTGAGTACTTAGAAACCCATGCCGAGGAGTGTCGCCGCTGTCCCAGCTTGAGGGCTGTAGGGTTCCTTCACGTCGTGCGGCGGCCGGTAACAGGGTCAGGCTGTAAGTCAGACTGCTCTCCTGGCCCAGCAGCTCAGTTACTGCGGTCTGTAAAGGAAATCGATGACTTTGCATAAAGATGCACGGTTCTTCTGCATAAATCTCTTCTAACTTAGATGGTGAAAGGCATGGAAGTGTAAGTTAAGAGACAAACAGCAGACTGGGAGAGCTTTCTAAGAAAGTAGAGTCAGTGTTCGGTGTATGTAAAACACTCTTCCCAGTCGGAGGAAAGTCGGTTCATTAGAAGCCCAGGGAAAGGCTATCACCAAAGAAGAAACACGGGCATTAATAACTGTATAAAAAGATACTCAGCCTCACTCCTGAGGGGGAATAGAGATGACAGCTGTCACCAGCTTCTCCCCATGACGTTGGCAAGGGTTTTAAGAGGTGGAGAACAGGGACTGTTGGTAAGTGTACAGGGAACAGGCCCACAGAGCCCCACACACTGTTGGCAGGCTCACCCTGTGCGGGAGTCCATTTGGCCAAACCTACGCCCTACCTGGGCTTAAATCCTGCAACTGGCACATCAGATGAACTTCATATTTTAAGAGGTGGTAAAGGGGTGTGGGGAAAATTCATCCTGACTATAAAAAATCCTTGATCTTGTATAGCTGCTCTGTACTCCGGCTTTTTTTCCTCCTCTGTTAATGGTTTCTTGAATGTTTACTTTGTGCAAGTGTTGTACTAATAAGCATTTTCAATAAATTGTTTTATCATTAAAGCAGCCTTCTAAGATGGCTGTTTTTAATCCCTGTTTTGTAGATGTGGAAACTGAGGCCAGAGAGATTAAATAAGTTCATTAGCCAGTGGGTGAAAGAGCCTCAGTTTAGCTTTAAAATATGGCCTTAGTCATTCTCTGGTTGGATAATTAACAAGTAATGGATTAGTGATACCGTGCATACCTTAAATTTTGTCTTTATTAAAATAATTTCATTTTGGCGGTGCCTGGGTGGCTCAGTCCGTTGGGCGTCTGGCTCTTGGTTTCGGCCCAGGTCATGATCTCAGGGTCCTGGGATCGAGCCCGGCGTCGGGCTCCGTGCTCAGCGCGGAGTCTGCTTCTCCCTCTCCCTCTGCCTGCTCCCCCCACTCGTGTGCGTGCGCGCACTCTCTCTCCCCCCCTAAAACCTTTTAAAAAAAAGTTCATTTTCTAAGTTAACGTTTTAAAATTCAGGGCTTCCTTTCTTCCTTAGAATGGTAACATCATAAACGTGATGCTTTCTCTCTTCCTTGGGATGTCAGCCCGATCCACGCGAACCTTCGTTAACGCAAAGGCTTTTTTTACCCTCTCCCCAGAGGACCTGAAGCGGCAGAATGCGGTGTTGCAGGCGGCGCAGGACGACCTGGGGCAGCTGCGCACGCAGCTGTGGGAAGCCCAGGCAGAGGTGGAGAACATCAAGGCCATCGCCACGGTCTCGGAGAACACCAAGCAGGAAGCAATCGACGAAGTGAAAAGACAGTGGAGAGAAGAGGTCGCCTCGCTTCAGGCTGTGATGAAAGGTAAAGACCGAGAACGTCCCCCCGTCTGGGCCGTGATGCCCTAGGGTCGCCGCTGCCGATGGGGACTGCGCTGTCGGCGGGGCTCACACCGCGCCCGGAGCTGCTTTGGGGCGTTCGGCGTGACCGCGTCGGGGTGCGCTGTCCTCTGGGCCGGGAGGGGAGGCCCGCGGGGCCGTCTGCCTCCCGGGTCCGGCAGCGGAGGCTTACCCCCGCGGGCGTGCGCGGGGCCGCGGCGCTGAGCGGGGCCGCGTCCACCCGGGCTTTGCAGCGGCCTCGGGGCCGGGGTCGGCTCCTCTGCAGGAGCCAGGCCGGGCACGTCGGGGAGGCCGGCCGCGTGCACGCGGCGTGTGCGGCTGGAGACGTCCCGCGCGGGGTCCAGCCACTGCCCACACGTCGTTACTGCGCGTCCGCTCCGGCGGGGCCAGAGTGGACGTTCTCAGGGCGGGGGTGGGTTGCGGTGCGACTCCTCACTGCGGTCTCCGGGGCAGAAGGGCGCGGGCGCCCGTCAGCGGGCTGGGCGCTGCCGGCCTCTGGCCCGGCCGTGAAGGCCGCGTCGCGGGGTGGCCGCGTTTCTGCCCAGACGGCGGCGAGCCGAGGGAAGCTGCCCCTGCAGCGTTGGGCTCCCGAGGCCGTTTCACCGTATTCCCGGCGAGACGTGGCGGCGCGTCCCCTCCGCCGCAGTGGGATGGCTGTAAGCCTCGGGGCCGCGGCAGTGGCTCTCCCGCCTGGGAGCCCGTGCTTCCCTCGGAGCGCGGCCCGGGCGTGGGGGCTCCGCGCCGGCACCTGCCCGCTCGGCGGCCCTCGGCGCGCGGCCTTCGCCGCCGTTCTCCGCGAGGCTGGAGGCTGCTTGCTGCCGCTCCGGCCGCCTCGGGGAGGCACACGGCCTCCCGTCTGTGCGGAGGACGCAGCTCTCCGTCGGGCCGCCGACTTCTGGCGCAGAGCCGGGCTTCTGTCCGCGGGGGGGCGGGGGGCGCCGCAGCTCGTGGGCAGCCCGCCTCTCCGGGCCCACGCGGAGGAGAAGGCCCCTCCCCGGGCCCGCGGAGCCCTGGTCTCCGTTCGGAACCCGAGGGACGCGGCCTGTTCCGGGCGCGCGCCGCGGCCGCGGACGGGGCGACGGGCCGGGCGCGGCTCTGCGCGCTCAGGCCTCGGCGGGGCTGCGCCGCGGGGGCCGGGAATCGTGGCCCCGCTGTAGCTGCCGCCGCGCCGTGCTCTTCCGCAGAGACCGTCCGCGACTACGAGCACCAGTTCCACCTCCGGCTGGAGCAGGAGCGCGGCCAGTGGGCGCAGTACCGCGAGTCCGCCGAGCGGGAGATCGCCGACCTGCGGCGGCGGCTGTCCGAAGGCCAGGAGGAGGAGAACCTGGAAAACGAGATGAAAAAGGTAAGAAGCCACGGACCCGTCCGCGGCCACCACCGCGCTCCGGCGGAGGGGCCGTGGGCCGCGCGGCCGGCGGCGGACTCCGCCCCGGCCCCCGTCCTCCGTCCTCGACCGCACGTGGGTGCCGCGCCCCGCCGCCCCGGGCGCCCCTCGCCTGGAGCGCACCGGGCCTGCTGGCGGGGTCCGCGGCTGCCTCCTTCCCGCGCGGGGGCGGGCGCCCCGACGCAGGGCTCTTGGCGCGCGGGAGCCTCGTCCCCCGGGGCGTCTGGCGCGCGCCCCCCGGAGCCGGACTCCGGCCTCCCTCCGTGTGCGGGCCCTGCGCCGGAAGTGCCGCACGGCCGCCGGGCGCTCGCACAGGTGCCTGCGGACGCGGGCCTCGCCTCCGCCAACGTGGGCGCGGTCGTGCTCGGTGTAGGTCACGTATTGTGTAAAGCGGTGAGCGGAACGTGACTCCCAGCGTCATTCCGAGGGGTCCTCCTCTGGTTCCGAGCCCTCAGCGCGTGCCCGGACTGCTGTTGTGCGTTCAGGAGGTTATTCGGTTGTTGTTTTTTTAAATAAAGATTTTATTTATTTATTTGACAGAGAGACACAGCGAGAGAGGGAACACAAGCAGGGGGAGTGGGAGAGGGAGGAGCAGGCTTTCCCGACCCTGGGATCATGACCTGAGCTGAAGGCAGAGGCCCAACGACTGAGCCACCAGGCACCCCGATTTTATCTTTTTTTTAATTTAAAGATTTTATTTATTTATTTGACAAAGAGAGAGAGAGCGAGAGCAGGAACACAAGCAGGGGGAGCCGGAGAGGGAGAAGCAGGCTTCCCGCTGAGCAAGGAGCCCGATGTGGGGCTCGATCCCAGGACCCCGGGGCCATGACCTGAGCCGAAGGCAGACGCTTAACGACTGAGCCACCCAGGCGCCCGGTTATTTGGTTTTTATAATAACGGAAAAATCGTCTCAGAACCCAGCGCCCCAAATAGAGGCTGTAAACACCAAGAGTAGCTTTTTCCGTTCCGTCTTGTTCCAGGACGACGCTGTAATTCAGCATGTCCACGGGGAGCTGACGGCGTCTCGGTGACCGCTGGAGGCCCTCGCGTGACAGTGTGGCCCGCGGCAGGCCGCCGCCCCCACCCTCCCCGAGGAGGTGGAGGTGCTCGTGTTCGATGCTCTCCCTGGGAGCTCTGGCCCACGTCCCAGCAGGAGACCGTTGTCTTCATTCTTCCAATGCATTCACGTCCATGGTTTTCATAACCTGCCACTTGCCACTCCTAAAATTTATTTTCAAAATGAACTCTGTGTTTTAGAATGGTGTTTATTTACAGAAACACTGTGAATGAAGATAGGACAGAGTCCCGTATACCCCGCTCCTGGTTTCCCCTGTTACTAGTATCTGTTGTTAGTGTGGTACCTTTGTCACAACTAATAAACCAGTGTTGATTCGTTCTCATTAACTCAAGTCCATGCTTTGTATTCAGACGTCATTCATTTTTACCTAATGTCCCTTTTTTACTGTTCTAAGAGCTCTTGCACGAAACCACGTTCATGATGCTGTGGGTCTCCTTAGACTCCTCTCGACCTCGACAGTTTTTAAAATTTTCCTTGTTGTTGTTGTTTTGCTTTTTTCTAAATTTTTAAAAAGATTTAATTCCAGTATAGTTCACACACACTGTTACGCTAGTTTCAGGTGAACAAGATAGTGATTCAGCGCTTCCGTGCATCACCCACCGCTGCTCATCCCCACAGGTGCCCTCCTTAGTGAGTTTTCCTTTTTTAATGACCTTCATTTAAAAAAAATCATCTTTACAAGTTTTGTTTATAATGATATTCAACACTTGTGGGGTCACCATTACATCAGTAAATAGCTCGGTCTGTGTTAAATTCTTTGCTTCTTCCCTCCTTTTTTTTCCTGCTGAGTTTTATCAGCAGGCCTCTGTAAGAATCCCAAATTAGTCTTGACTGAAGATATTTTAAGCTCATATGTCTTTTCCATACAGGACTTAGTTAAAAATAAAATAAATGGGCGCCTGGGTGGCTCAGTTGGTTAAGCGACTGCCTTCGCCTCAGGTCATGATCCTGGAGTCCCGGGATCGAGTCCCGCATCGGGCTCCCTGCTCAGCAGGGAGTCTGCTTCTCCCCCTGCCCTCTTCCCTCTCGTGCTCTCTGTCTCTCATTCTCTCTCTCTCAAATAAATAAAATCTTTAAAAAAATAAAATAAAATAAAAATAAATGATGAAGTGACTCTTTAAGGACTGGAAAACAAAGTGAGTCCCTCTTTTCTGAGAGACATGTTTTTTGGGAAAAATTTCCATGCACATTTGGGCATATATGATATTTTTCCTATTATGAACACCTAAGGATAAACTTGAGCTCTTTTAAATTTAGTGAATAAGGTTAATTTTCATTTTCCCTAGAAGAGTAAAAGCTAACTTTTTGATTCTACCTTTGTTACTGTGTATATATACACACACACACATACATATATACGTTATATTCACACATATTACACACACGTATACATACGTAATATGTGTTATGTGTATAGTGTATATATGTAATGAAAATCAAGTTTCTTACCAGTTTACTAATTTGTGGATATTATTTCCTTTTAATCCATGTTTTTGAGAATGAAAGAGAAGACAGTATGATAGTTTTAGGGGTCATTCTTTGGGTTTGTCTCATTTAGATATCAAAAGTAAAATATTATGTAAATTACTCCTTAAAATAACTAAGATGGAAACTTTTATAGCAACATAATTTTCTAAAATTTTAGAAAATACATTGTTCTCTTCGTTTATGTTTAAAAACAAATCAGTCCTTTCATCCAACCATTTCACAAGAAATTATGGTTTCATGAATTTAGTAACTAGAATTATGAAAATGAAAGTATTATGTGTGTTTCCTTTTATATATATGGTCTTTTCCAGTTAATTGATTTAAAAAGCCAGATTTGTCATAGTGAATCCATTTTCCTACTTACTTCCAATTTCTAAGTAAAATATTGGGGAAAATTGTGATAATGACTTGAGATTCAGTCGTGCAGCATTTGAAAGTCAGATGTGGTTCAGTTTAATGAGCACTAATTCAGCACCTGGTAGGCTTATTCATTGTACTAACAGCGTATGTAAGTCAGCATTGCTTAGAAAAGCAGTGAACCAGTAAGTCGTAGCATTTAATTCTTTTTTTTAAATTTATTTTTATTATTATGTTAATCACCATACATTACATCATTAGTTTTAGATGTAGTGTTCCATGATTCATTGTTTGTGTACAACACCCAGTGCTCCATGCAGAACGTGCCCTCTTTAATACCCATCACCAGGCTAACCCATCCCCCCACCCCCTCCCCTCTGGAACCCTCAGTTTGTTTTACAGAGTCCATCGTCTCTCATGGTTCGTCTCCCCCTCCCATTCCCCCCCTTCATTCTTCCCCTCCTGCTATCATCTTCTTCTTTTTTTTTTTTTAACATATATTGTATTATTTGTTTCAGAGGTACAGATCTGTGATTCAACAGTCTTGCACACTTCACAGCGCTCACCGTAGCACATACCCTCCCCAATGTCTATCACCCAGCCACCCCGACCCTCCCACCCCCCACCACTCCAGCAACACTCAGTTTGTTTCCTGAGATTAAGAATTCCTCATATCAGTGAGATCATATGATACTTGTCTTTCTCTGATTGACTTATTTTGCTCAGCATAATACCCTCCAGTTGCATCCACGTTGTTGCAAATGGCAAGATTTCATTCCTTTTGATGGCTGCTTAATATTCCATTTGTGTGTGTGTATATATATATATATATACATATATATATATATATATACACACACACACCACATCTTCTTTATCCATTCATCTGTCGATGGACATTTTGGCTCTTTCCACAGTTTGGCCATTGTGGACTAATTCTTTTTAACCGTAGGCTCAAGAGGATGCTGAAAAGCTTCGGTCTGTTGTGATGCCCATGGAGAAGGAAATCGCGGCTCTGAAAGACAAACTGACAGAGGCTGAAGACAAGGTTAAAGAGCTGGAGGCCTCAAAGGTCGTGAGATGCTGTAGCCTGTTCCTTGAACCCGGGACCCTGACCTAATGCTATGAGCAAAGTTAGAGTCACTGAGGGGGTACAAACTGGAATTTAGACTGTGTGTCTTAAAAACCTTGCACTCTTTAAAAGGCAAAGAAGAAAATGCTTGAAGATGATTGTGTCCTTATGGATATTTTAAATAATCACAATAGTGATGTGCCTGCTGCTTTGTTAACAAAGTTAGTGCTCATGTCAAAATGACACCCGGTCTCATTCGTTTTCTTATCAAGGAACATAAGCTGTTGGAAGTTGGCTTTATCTCCTGACGCTAGTCCCAGAATTGATGTCTTAGAGCTGATGTAGTTACAGTGCAGCTGGACTTGTTGGCCATAAAGATACAACAGAGGAAATACAGAGGGAATGTTGAAAATGTTGATAATTAAGAGAAAGTAGGAAAGAAAGCAAAAAATAATAAAAAGGTAGTAAACAAAAGCACAGCATAGGAATGTAGAAAGGGGGAATGTGTCCATGATCCTAATAAATGTAAACTGATAATCACCTGCTAAAATAGTTGGGATTCTTGGGGCGCCTGGGTGGCTCAGTCGTTAAGCGTCTGCCTTCCGCTCAGGTCATGATCTCAGGGTCCTGGAATCGAGCCCTGCATCGGGCTCCCTGCTCGGCGGGAGGCCTGCTTCTCCCTCTCCACTCCCCCTGCTTGTGTTCCCTCTCTCGCTGTATCTCTCTCTGTCAAATAAATAAAAATCTTTAAAAAAAAAAAGAAAAAAAAATAGTTGGGATTCTTAAAAAATCTAAATTTATATTGTTTATAATAGACACACCTAAAATAAAACTATAAGATTGAAATAAAGGGATATTTAAAGATATGCCCTCCAAATTCTACCCAAAAGAAAGTTGATATAGTGATTGTAATATGAAACATTTAGGATGTAAGGGAAAAAGACTAGAGATAGAGAGACCCCATCTAAAAATTCATCAGTAGGATGTGACAGTTGCGATTGAATGTACCATATATACCTTGAAATTTGTGAACTAAAAGGGACAATTACAAGGGGAAATTAATGTGCACAGTTCTAGTAGGAGATTGAAACTGATTTTTTTTTTTTTAAGATTTTTTTAAAATTTATTTTGACAGAGAGACAGAGAGGGAACACAAGCAGGGGGAGTGGGAGAGGGAGAGGGAGAAGCAGGCCTCCCACAGAGCAGGGAGCCCGATGTGGGGCTCGATCCCAGGACCCTGGGATCATGACCTGAGCCGAAGGCAGATGCTTAACAATGGAGCCACCCAGGTGCCCCTGAAACTGATCTTTAACTGATAGTGTAAGCAGAGAAAAACGTTAGTGGGGATATAGGGGTTTTGAGCAATCTGATTAACAGTTTAGACGTTAACAGATCCATCGAGAGAGAGACTGCGTCTTCTGTGGTAGCAGAGCATAGGAATCAGGAGCTCAGCAGTTACTGGCTGGGGGACCTCGAGCAAATTACTTCATCTGACTGTGCTTTGCTTTTCTCAACTGTAAAATGGGGATAATCGTACCCTCCTCATAAGGCCACTACTGGATTTTGTAAGTCCACATGTATAAAGCATTTAAGATAGTGCATGGGATAAAGTAATTGTTAGTTTTAGGTACATTATGCTTTACATAGTGTCACAAAAGGAGGTGCCGAAAAATTTTGAAGAATTGTTATGTAAACTCAGATGTCTGACTACAGGTTTTTAAATTATTTATAGTAAAATGGTCGCTAAAATAAAATGGAAATTAAAAAAAAAACTCATGGAAAACGGAATTCTAAAATACTTAGAGTGATTTAAATGTTTTACTCAAGAATCCAGAAAGGCAAACAATAGTACAGACAATACAAATACAAGGAAATAATACACTTAAAAGCAGAAATAAGTGAAATAGAAAAGCCAAAGAAAAATTGAGAATGTCAATATAATGGGAAAAATGGGAAAACTAGTAAGATAGACAAACCTCCATTAAGACTAATCAGGAGGGGCACCTGGGTGGCTCAGTCAGTTAGATGTCCGACTCTTGATTTCCACACAGCAAGACAAGATGCAGGGACAGGGCATAAGCACTGGATGGAGACCGTGAAACGATGATTGTGTAGAAAAGCAAGAGAATGTACCAACATTGTTAGACCCAACAACAGTTCAAGAAAGTTGTTCCAACAAGATCAACATACAAAAATATATTCTCCAGTAATCTATCCAAGTAAAGAATGTAATGGGGAAAAAATCCCATTCATAATAGCAAAAACAAAACAACAAACAAAACCCCCCCAAACACAAAAAAACTAAAATCAGCTCTGTGTTGTAGAGTCGTAGATACCTGAGGATTTATCTAAATAAAAATGGTAAGATTGTTATGGAATACATTATGATGAAGGTCTGAGCTCATGTGTGTTCCTGAATGAGAAGATAATGTATTATAAAGCAGGTAGTATATCCCCAAATTAATCTGAGTTCAAAATTCCACTCTGAATACAATAGGGTTTAATAAGGAATTTGGAAGGAGGCAAGGTGGGGAGACTTGCCCCGCCTACCAGGTACTAAGACTTATAGTAAAGCTACTGTAATTAAGATGCTTTGTTACTGATTTGGTGACAGTGGACCAGTGGAACAGAATCAAGAGCCCAGAAACAGAGCTGGATGTGTGTGGGAATTTGATACAGGACAGCTGGCCTTGCCCATCAGTGGGAAAGGAACGGCTTGTTAAAACATAGCCATTTTAGGGTGGCTCAGTTGGTTGACTGTCCACCACTTGATCTCATCTCAGGTCTTGATCTCAGGATCATGAGTTCAAGCCCCGTGTCAGGCTCCATGCTGGGCGTGGAGCCTACTTAAAAAAATAAATAGCCTTTTAAAAATAGTTTGTTTTTTTTTTAGAGCGAGACAGTGAGCGCGGGAGTTGGAGGGGAGGGGCAGAGGGAGAGAGAGAATCTCAAGCAGATCGCACACTGAGCAAGGAGCCTGATGTGGGGCTTGATCTAGGACCCTGAGATCATGACCTGAGCCAAAATCAAGAGTTAGGCACCCATAAGTAGTTTTAAACATGGAATAAAGTGAAATCCGCTTTTTACCTCACACTTTTCAAAAATTAATTTCAATGAATTAAAAACCAGAGAGTGAAAAGTAAATCTTCAAAACTTTTAGATCTTAAAAAAAAAAAAGATGTTATTTGGGGTACAAAAACATTAAAAAAGTTTTTTTAATTTATTTTTGGGAGCATGAGCAAGCATGAATGCGAGTTGGAGGAGGAGCGGGGTGGGGGAAGAGGGACAAGTGGACTCCACACTGAGCCAGACACAGGGCTCGATCTCACAACCCTGAGATCATGACTGAGGTGAAACCAAGAGTTGGATGCCTAACCGACTGCACCACCCAGGCGCCCCAAAAACGTTTTTTTTTTTTTTTTTTTTTTTTAAAGATTTTATTTATTTGACAGAGAGACAGCACAAGTAGGCAGAGTGGCAGGCAGAGGGGGAGGGAGAAGTAGGCTCCCGGCTGAGCAGGGAGTCCAGTGAGGGGCTCGATCCCGGGACCCCGGGATCATGACCTGAGCCGAAGGCAGATGCTTAACGACTAAGCCACCCAGGCGCCCCCATAAGACGTTTCTTAGAGACAAAAATACTGTGAAAGAGAAGTTTGACAGATTTGCCTACATTAGAATATAAACCTTCCTTATTAAAAGATGCTACAAAAGGTTGCACAGAGAAGTTGTGGGCTGTTAGGAGATATCTTTACCTCCTGTACCTGATGAACAATTAGTGTCCAAATTAGTAAGAGCTGCTTGGTCCGTAAGGGACGGATGGCCCAGAGGAGAAACCGTAAAGAATGTGAACAAGTGGTTCACCCAAGAGGAGACCAGAATCGTCACAGAACGTGACAAGATCCTCAGGCTCACGGGAAATCAGGGAAGTACCCTCCCCAGATTGCAAGTGTCCCTGTACAGATTTGTTGCATTTTCCCACTGTTTCCAGCTTCAGCTGCCACTGTCAGGTTGGAGACTCAGTTGACAGTTTTGGGGTTCTTGGGGCCGTCATCCTCTCCCTTTACTTTGTCCCGTGTTGATGCTGATACCCTGGACGTCCATAGAGGTAGCTTTCCGTGCTGGACCCCACCCTCTAGCTGTCACTTAATTTCTTTCGTGGATGTCCCTAATTATTCATTGAGTTGGATATCTATGCTGAGAAGTAGCAGTAGATGGACTTACTGGTCGTGTGCCACCATTTTATGTCTGCCGTACGGACTCTCGCTATCGTCAGCTGAATCCCCACCCTCCGCGGTGGCTGGGACGCGCCTCGCAGCGGCCCGCACTGTGTCTGGTTGGCCCACAGCCTCCAGCGCATCCCATGGCAGCTTCCACAGTCCTTTCAGCCTGTGCCCACTACTGACATCTTGTGTTAATGGTCTAGGAGGAAAGACACCTGAAAACAGGTCAGACGGCGTTTTCAAGTTGGAAGAAGTAGGAAGTTATAAGGCAGGAAAGTGAAATTAGACATAACCATCTGAAAAGCTGACATAAATAACCGGCCACAATTTAGGATGGGTAATATGTAAGACAGGGTAAAACAAGTGATTCTGTATCCACTCTCTGGCGCGAGATTGCGTTTTATTTCGGTTATAACTATTTCAGATATTAGACTATCTTGTTAACAGTTGAATATTACATTTAAACAGAAGGCATTTTTTTTTTTTAAAGATTTTATTTATTTATTTGAGAGAGAGAGAGAATGAGAGACAGCACGAGAGGGAAGAGGGCAGAGGGAGAAGCAGACTCCCCGCCGAGCAGGGAGCCCGATGCGGGACTCGATCCCGGGACTCCAGGATCATGACCTGAGCCGAAGGCAGTCGCTTAACCGACTGAGCCACCCAGGCGCCCAGAAGGCATTTTTAAAAAGATGTGATTTTATAAAACATTCCACACTTGCCTTCAAGCTAGTGTTTATTACAGTATGAGACTAGTTATTTTTCCCATCGTGACTGCCTCTTTTTTCCTTCCAGTATATGTGTCCATGAAAATGGGTCCTTTTTAAAAATTCAAAGCATTTAGAACCACCTGACCAGAAATCAAGGAGAAACACATTTACTAGAGTGTGGCACTACTTTTATCTTTAGGAATTAACTACTGTTTAAAAACCCCCACAACAACCTAGTGTTACTGAGAATGTGACAAAATGAACCCAAGTACGCGTTGCTCTGGGAATGCAAATTAGAGCTAGCTCTTTGGAAAGCGAGGTACAAAGCTGTTACATGTAATCGCCGTTGCGTATTTGCTCTGGCGATACGATTATGGATAATACCTACTATTCTATTACTTTCCTAGTTTTCTGTAGCAAGTATGTGTTTGTTCTGTAATTAAAAATTGTAAGTGTTAACTTCTAAAGTTTTATGTAAAATGTAAACATAAACGTAAATTATTTTCAAGGCATCTAGAACTTACCAACATACCTAAAGAAGAAACTGTCACTTTAGTTTCATAGCATTGCATTTTGTTTCAGGTTAAGGAACTGAATCATTATCTGGAAGCTGAGAAATCTTGCAGGACTGACCTGGAGATGTACGTGGCTGTTCTGAATACTCAGAAATCCGTTTTACAGGAAGATGCCGAGAAACTGCGGAAGGAATTGCATGAAGGTATATACAGATTCTGTCTATTTTTAGTCTCAGTCTCTAAGTAGAATTGATGCCGATTAAAAGCAATAACAAATCCTAGACTCCAACATGTTAGTGATTCACTTTAAGCTTTGCAGTTGGTTCGAATGTTCTCCTTGAAGGGCTGGAGCCGGGAGGTTTCTCCTAAAGGTACGTGGATTGTTAACAGCTCCTCTTTCCTCAAGGACTCCAGGAATAACTTCACAAGGCATGAGCGGTGGACAGAAAGACAAGAGGGCTGGGAAGTTCTGCTTAAACTGCTTTTGCCCCCAAGATTCATTTTGATGGAGGGAGATTAGCAAGAGCGAAAATGGGACAGAGGGCAGATCGTATATTCTGGAGGCCTCAAGTGGCATCCCTGTTCGTAAGGGACAGTTTTGATTTCACTAGCCTGGTAGCAGAGTTCTACAGAAATTGACTCCGTTTTCCCCAGCCTGGGGGAGAAGGCTTATCTTTTCCCCATTAAAATAAAGATAGTGTTTTTTTTTTTTTTAAGATTTTGGTTGTCAGAGAGCTTGAGTGCATAAGCAGGGGGAGCGGCAGAGGGAGAGGGAGAAGCAGACGCCCTGCTGAGCAGGGAGCCCGATACGGGACTCGATCCCAGGACCCCGGGATCATGACCTGAGCCGAAGGCAGACGCTTAATCAACTGAGCCACCCAGGCGCCCCTTACCTGGGGTTCTTAACCTTGTTGTGTCATGGACTCCTTTGGCAGTCCTGTGAAAACCTCTTAAGGATACTGTTCTTCATTCCTAAAATACAAAAGAAGGCACTTATATTATGAAACAGTAATGAAAATATAAATAACTGCCATCTTACGATGCAGTAACAAATGTGCTATTTTCTTAATGCATTAAATGCGAAGGTTTGGGGGCGGATCTGGTGGAGGCTGTGGTCCAGAAGCAGTGCCGAGCCTCAGGGCTGTGCCCGGGCACCTGCCGCCACTGTGCATGGGTACAGCCTCTGTTGGCCACCGGGTCGCAGGTGCTGTCCTCCTTCCTGGGCTGGGTTGCCCACATTGTGGGTAATTAAAGGAAATGATAAATTTCAGTGAGAGCTTAGTAAACACATGGACCAACATTTCCTCATCTGGACGCACGGACGCCGTGAGACCTTGTACGTGTTGTGGGTTATACTAGGAACGTTTGCACAGGGGGGGTTTAGGACTGGGGTGAGAGAGTTCTACAGCAAATACTTTTTATGTATACCAAGGGCCGTGGGAAATAGAGCTCTTCCCTCAGTAATTTAGGCTTGCATATTAGTTTTTTCCCCCCAAATAGTCAAAGCTGAAATTCTATAAGCCTACAGAATCATTTCGTAAAACATTAGGAAAATCACCCAAGGTTTGAGCAGGTCTTTGGTTTTCAGGAAGCGCTTTTTGGAGGTAGTGCTGCCTCCTAGAAAGACACACAAACTCTGAGAGTGTCCAAAAGAAATAGGAATTTCCGTTTAAACGACGTGCCCCAGCCCTTCCAGAAATAGTGTGAGACTACCAGGCCTTCCTAACCTATCTGGAGAAGTATCTGAGAAGTCTCATTAAATGAGTAAGGGCATAATTTCCATCCTGAAACACTCACACCAAAACTAGTACTTAAAGGAAGAGAAGGTCCAACTTGAGCAGCCGTGTAACTTACAGCCTGAATCGGGAGAATTAGCCAAGTTAGCGCCTCTCCCGGGAGCCTGCTCGCAAGTGCGCTAGGAGGCGGCCGTGCGCAGGTGGGCTTCTTGAAAGCAGTTGTGAAGGGGGCTTTGACCGACAGGCGACCATTTGTCAGGTGGCCAGAGATGAGCCTGATGTTCAAGGCCATTTGCATGTGGTGCAACAAGGTCAAGGAGTGGAAGTTTGTTCAGCAAAGTTAGGATGCAAAGGGCAGGGGGGCAAATGCGAGCCAGATTGTGGTCACCGTGGGCTGAGGGTTTGGGATTTTATCAGATGGGCAAGAAGGAGCTTCTGAAAGGCTTTTCAGATGTTTTTCTTTCGGGCTCCCTGCTCAGTGTGGAGCCTGCTTCTCCCTCTGCCTCTGCCTCAATCGCTCTGTCTCTCATGAATAAATAAATAAATCTTAAAAAAAAAAGTAAAATGTTTTTCTTAAATAACAGCTTTATGGAGATGTAATTCACATGCCATGAAGCTCACTCTTCTAAAGTCTACTAGACTCACAGAGCTGTGCACCATTATCAGTCTGATTTCCACAACAGTTTTGCTGCAAAAAGAAGTTCTGTCCTCATTACTAGTCACTTCCTTTTCTCCCCTTCCTCCCAGCCCCCGGCAGCCCTGGTCTCCTTCCTGTCTGTGCAGATTTGCCCGTTCTGGACTCCGTGTAGATGGCGTTTTACAACATGTGGCCTCATGTTTGGCTTTTCTGAAGGGGTTTCAACTTGAGGATGGTCATCTAAGTTTTGCACTCACGAAGTTCAGTTTGACAGCGGTGTGGAGGGCAGGCCAGCGAGCGGAGACAAACGGCAGGAAGCGTACCGGTTGTGGGGGTCACGAGAGCTGGTCTGAGGCCGGCGGAGGAAAGCGCTGTGTCCCCCAGCACAGGGCAGCTGCTGGGCGCCTGTCGCAGGGGCTTCGGGTGGGCGAGGCACGTCAGCGCGTGGGTATCTTCTGGTTTCTGGCTTGAGTGACTGGTTCGTCAGTACAAGACGGCCGAGTGGGGCAGTGTCGGCAGTACCCGCCGATACAGAGAGCCTTTGACCTGTCCTGAGACGTCAGAAGTGCGCGGGGTGGGAGGGACTCCTGGGTCACAGATTTGTCAGGAGGTATTTGAAGGCACTGAGTCGTGGTCACGGCACCTGTGGCATTTAGAGCAGTAGCTCCCAAGGGTCTTCCCGGAACTTCCCTTGTTCTGTGCGTGGCACTGCCGGGAGGACTTCCTGGTCAGAGGCGTCGGGGGAATACTGCATTCTGTATCCTCCTCCGGGAGAACGCGGGCATACGTCAGGTGCTGAGCTCGAAGTCCCGCAGGGGAGGGTCCTGTGAAGATGCACTTAGGCAGGGTCTCCAGCGCTCACGGAGCACAGAAATCCTTTGCTCACGTGTCGCTGCTCCTGGGAGCCTCTGCGTGGGGAGAGGTGTGAGGACAGCTGCCGTGTGTCTGGCAGCAGGCCGCCCCTCGGTGCTTGCCCGGGGGGCGCCAGACGGGCGGGCCGTCGGCCAGACCTGGTCGGGGCCCCGGTCACGGGAGTGCCTACCGCCAGGATGCGCCGGTTCTGACTGGGGCTCCTCCACAGTGTGCCATCTCCTGGAGCAAGAGCGACAGCAGCACAACCAGCTGAAGCACACGTGGCAGAAGGCCAATGACCAGTTTCTGGAGTCTCAGCGTCTGCTCATGCGGGACATGCAGCGCATGGAGATGGTGCTCACGTCGGAACAGCTGCGGCAGGTGGAAGAGCTGAAGAAGAGAGACCAGGTGAGCGGCGGCTCCGGGCATGTGCTCGCTCTGCGGCGCCCACGCAGGCTTGGCTCGGAGGCAGCGGACGCTCGCGCGCTTTCAAAACGCGGGACAGCTGCCTCGGAGGGGTTTTGCTTTTCACCTTTCAGAGATGGCCTTGTCTGGGGGAGAAGGGCTGATTTAGCAGTGCTCCTCTCTGGAGACTGCAGGACGCAGCAGTGCGTATTTCTGAGAAAATCTTTCTCCACGGCTCTGTCGGTTCTCCCAGGGCTCCGGGATCCTGTTTGTCCGGGTCACGTCTTCTGTGACGTTGCTCTGAAAGCCTCACTGGACGGTGACGGCGGGGGGGGCGGGGGGGGCTGAGTGATCCCAAAGGACAGGAGTCCAGAGGGCTGCTCACCCGAGATCCTGTTTTCTCCTTCCCTTTTAAAGAGCTATCTGAATTACATGAGTAATACACAAATACCTCTCAGGTTAAAAATACAACAATACATACGAGTGATAAAGGAGAATCTCCCCAGCCACCTCCCTTCCAGAAGCGAGCACTTCTGTCCTCAGAAGTCTTCCTGTGCGGGGCGGTCCTCCTGGGCATTTGTCTGCGTTCGGAAGTGGGTGTTCGGGTTGGTTCAGAGGCGGCACAGGGAACATATTCTGTAACCTCTGCCCCAGAGAGCTGTCACTCTCGCTCACTGCCGGGGTGGACACACCGTGAGGGACTCGATCCCTGCCCCTGTCCCGGCGCCCAGACGGCTTCCCGTTCTGTGTTCTCCATTTCAAACGGTGGCGTGGCTCCTCTCCTGCACCGTGTTGTGCGTGGGTGCAAAGATCTCCCCAGGAGAGCTATGTAGAAGCTCTTCTAGGTACTGTGCAGATTGTTTAGATTGCCTTGTATGACTTAAGAAGTTTCATCCTTTTTAAAATTTCTGTCTTTAATTGTGGCTCATTCCTCTTCTGTGTAGACACAGCCAACTTAAGGGTCGAAACAGTCTAGATGCTGGAAGTGGTCACTTAGGGCCTGTATTAACATGGACTGAGGTTTTTCTATGCGGGCTTTCCGCGGTGTGCCCAGGCTTTACCTGTAAAGCTCTGTGTCATGCAGTTCCCAGAGCAAACAGACACCGCAGCGCCCCAGGTGCAGTGCGGACTGTTGGCAGATCCCAGGTTCGAAGCCCGTGCCCTCGAGTTCCCGTGTGCCTGCCCTGTTCTCAGCCACAGCAGGATACTTGGGGTCCCCCGTGCGCCTGCCCTCCCTGGAGCCCTTGCTCACCCCTCACCCGGTTGGCAGACTCCCCGCGCTGATCCTTCCAGATCCAGCAGGTGCTGCTTCTGTGGGCCTGTTTCCAGCTGCCTCCGCGGAGAGCGTGATGTTGCTCCCGAAGAAGCTTGTGTCCCGCCCCCCCCCCCCCCCCGCCCGTGAGTTGCTGAGGCCATGTCCCCGCCCGCGAGGCCGTTCTGGGGAGCACCGAGGTGCCTGCTCATCTGTGTCGTGCAGACTGTTACATTAACTTCAGCCATTCGTTTTGTTCTGCGTGAATTTGTACCTCTTTCTAATGGCCGCGCCCTGCCTGCGCTCTGTAGTTGTCTGACGGGACGGCCGCGTAAACGCTCTCGGATCCCTTGACGTGAGGGTGTGTTTTGTGTTGCTTTCTCATAGCGCGCTCTTCTTGGAAGCGGCTTCCTGATTTCTCCTCTATGACGGGCTTCGTACTTGGTGCCTGTGGTGGTGAAACCTTTTGTCAGGACCAGACATCCAGACAGTGACTACAAAGCGAGTAAACTTCAGGGCCCGGTGTTCTCATAAAGCTTCGTTCTCTTTTATCTGTTTTGAGCGGCTGAAGAACTATGAGTGGTGAAGTGTAGATCACCCGGGTGACGTATGTATGTATTTTCTTTAACTTTTAGGAGGAAGACGAACAACAGAGATTTCACAAGAGGAAGGACCACGACGGAACAGAGGTTGAGGAGGAGGCAAAAGCCGCGGCTGTGTGTGCTTTCACGCACGAGGAGTCTCCGGCCCAGCTGTCGAATGAAGAGGTAGGGTGAGTCTGTCGTTAGGGCCCGTGTCCACGGCGTGGCCGTGTGCGTGCGGGAGCGCAGAGCTAGAGCGACCGTATTCTGTCCTGCCCCGTCGGCGGGCTCACAGCCAGGGCTCCGGAAACATGGGGTCCTCTTACCATCGCTCAGCCACGTACAGGCTCTTTTTCCAGTGGTTCTCAAAGTAGGGCAGTAGAAGCGAACTTAAAGGACACCTGCAAAATCTCTGCGGGGATGAATAGTAAATGTTGCCAGTACTTTGGCTTTTACTTTAAATGATGAGCTCAGGGGCGCCTGGGTGGCTCAGTTGGTTAAGCGGCTGCCTTTGGCTCAGGTCATGATCCTGGAGTCCCTGGATCGAGTCCCGCATCGGGCAGCCTGCTCGGCGGGGAGTCTGCTTCTCCCTCTGACCCTCCTCCCTCTCATGCTCTCTCTCTCTCATTCTCTCTCTCTCAAATAAATAAATAAAATCTTTAAAAAAAAAAAATAAATAAAAGATGAGCTCAAGTCCTCAAGCCCCGAACCCCCCACAGCACATGCTTGCATATCAGCGGATCTGAGGCCGTGGGCTGTGAGGACTCAGGTGGAGTGGGGAGCCTCGGACGTGGAGAGTGGTGTTCCGGTGGCCTCGGGGCCTCTCGCCCCCCCCCACCCACGGAAGCAGGGGTCTCCCCGTCGGGTGTCCTGTCTGCAGCCTCTTGGCCACCTGCACCCTAGCATTACTGTCCCCTTCCCTGGTGGCAAGTGCAGCTGCAGCCAGGCCGCTCCCCTCCTCAGAGACCACACGGGCTCCCGTGACGGGCACGACGAGGTTCCACTTCCTGCTTCACACCGTTCCGGCCGCCGTTGCCATCCTGTCGTGCTTGCACGCTGGCTCCTTCTTCCGCCGTGCCGCCTCCCCTGCCCGCTCATCTTCAGGACGCAGGCTGACTGTTGCCCCTTCGGGATAGGAATGAAGGCCTCTGGCCTTCGAGCCCAGCGTGGCACCGAAGGGCCTTCACCGCTGGGTGACCCTCCGTGCCTCCCACACCCCCACGTCTTCACAGCCAGACCCGTCTCCGTGCCGGCCGAGCTCTTGCGCCTCGCGCCCACTGCCCCCAGCCCCATCTCCGTCCCCTGGCCGGATCGGATCAGGTCTGTTGCCACTTTCAGGGGTACCGTGTATCTGTGTAGTTGGCATGTGTATGCTCAGCCCTGTGCAGTCTGCTTCCTGGTGGCTTATATTTCCATGTTTACGGATTGTTGGACGTGAAAGTTTTAAAAACATCCTAGCGGACGCTGAAAAGGATGACGTAATTGTTTTTCTACATTCTTTGTTTTGGGTCGTACACTGAGAACCACTTGGCCTGATTCTGCTGTGTATTTTTTTAATGGTCAGACTCTCAGGAGAGTGTTTCAGTTTTTGGGTACTGCCAAGTATTATGTGGTGTCTGTGTGCAGGAATGTTTGAAAAAGTTTCAGACTTTCCAAAAAATATTTTAGCAGGAAAACAGGAAAGAGAGATTTGTTAGAATGTACAGTGAAACATTTTTGACATTTTTTGATTCCGTCTTCATTGGTCTAGTATATATTGTGTGTCACATTATTTCCAGACATTTAAAGTATATTTTAGGTTTTCAGATCTGGTATTTTACACTTTGAATGTGGAATACGCTTGTTTTGTATTGAGACTCATGATGATTTACTTTTGCCTGTTGATGTAAAGTTCAGAGTGGCCGCTTCGGAGACTTAGCTTTATGGCTAAAGATGATGAAAATTTGTAGGACCTGATACCTTCTTTAGTCTGATGTGTAGAGTATCCTTTTCTCACTGCAAAAGTAATGTGTGTTTGCTGTGGGAAATGTGGAAAGTACAGAAAGGGCCTACGAAACGAGGAGAGCTTCTGGGTGATTCTGCTGCCCAGAGATGAACTCCACTAGCGTTCTAGTGCAGACCCCTGCTTCCTTTCTGTTTCTTTTCTCTGTTTCCAGAGTTAACATGTGTTTCTGTTTTCACTTTTTAGACATAACCCATATTGTAACTCTACATAATATTGTATGTAAATTTTTTGCACTTAAATCTATCTTAGAGGTTTTGGCATATCAGTAAATGTTTTCCCACAAGTGGTATTTAATAGCTGACAGCATTTCGGCAAGCACATGCCCCATCATTCCATCGTAACTGATTTATGCCCAGGCCTACAGGTCCACGCCATTGGAAGAAAAGTGTCACGTTGCTCACAGTGTCCCTAGAAGCGAGTCCCTTGCCCTGTGCAGAGCCACATGCAGACGCGGCCGCACTGGGTCACGAGGCATGGGCAGGAGCAAGTGGACAGCACGTGCCCCAGGCCTTACAGGGACTTCCGAGGGCAGGGGCAGGGCAAACCGCACAGGGCTGGCTGGTTGGAGGAATACCGGCAGGCGTGGTGTAGGGTCTGTCCTTGGTTTCCTGGTGCCTGGCCCCAGGTTGATTTAGGGCGAGGGGCGTAGTGGCGTGGGGTCGTGAGGGCAGGTAAAGGAGGTGGTCGGGGGCTGGACACAGGATGGGTCGGGTGTACGTGCGAGGCGTGTTCGTAGGCGACTTGTGTCTTAATCGGAGGAGTCAGGTGGCTTGGAGGGCCCGTCTCTCCCTGGCCAGCAAGGTCCTCAGAATGGGAAAAACATCGTAAAACGTAGAAAATGAAAAACGGGAATGACAGACTAATAGGTTGGTTCCACCTCTCATTAGTGCGGGAGTTCTCCTCATTATGAGGAACAGCATGATGCTGTTGCACGTAACTCTTCCCTGGACAGAACTCATCCCGGACTGTCCTGATTGCTCTCCTTAGTGTGCGCTACGGGGAGAGGACCGCCGAGTTTAAGGGCATAGACGTTTTCAGGTATCGGCACATACTGTTGAGTCATCTTTGAGAAGCCCCCTACGGTTCGCGCTGCCCTGGGAGCGTGTGCCCCCGTGTGGTTGCGGGCTCCGTGGTCTGGCGTGTCCTGCCACCGCCCCCTCCCCTCCTCCGTGTCCGCGCGGCAGCGCTCGCGGGAGGCTCCATTGTAAGCCAGCCGCAGGGATCCCCGTCCTGGCTTGTATCGGGCCCTTACTCGGGACCGTGGCCGTAGCTACGGCAACACAGACTAGATGTGTGTTCCTCAGCCACCTGAACCTCGCAGGTGAAAGAACATCTTTATACAGAAAGAAATGGAGGAATTCACTTACAAGTTTTGTATTTCCCAGCCTTCTCCAGTTCATAAAGGAAAGGGCATTTAACAACAAAAAGTAGACGGGATATTATCTTGAAACAAAGGCTGGTCCTTTAAATTGAATACGTTGAATTTTAAGAATCACTTGCTGCACGTTTCCGGTTTTCTGGGTTTCTGGGTTTCTGGGTTTCCGGTTTTCTGGGTTTCTGGGTTTCCCGGTCACTGCGCGGCTGCCTCGGGGGGCGCCCTGCTGTGCTGTTCGCACGTCGGGAACACCTGCCCCGCGTGTCTCTTTAATTGAGCTGAAATGCACACGTCCTAGAATTAACCACTTGAAGTGTGCACGCACCGTGTCTGTCTGGGTCCCCCACCCCAGGGGACCGCACGTCCTCCGAGGAGTCACTCCCTGGCTTCCTTTCCCCTCAGCCTTTGGCATCCACTGACTGGAGTTACCGGTTCTGGACGCTTCGTGTGCACGGAATCACACGATGTGTGTCCTCTCACTTGCTGCACCCGCTTAACGTGCTTGCGACACCTTCCGGCGTTCGACATTATTCTCATTTCCCTTCCACTCAGGCTGCTCCTTCCTCCGTCCATCCCCAAAGTGGACGAAATTGGTGTTTCTCGGGGCTCTGTCCTCAGCAGACCCGTCATAGGTGTTCCGAGCTGCTGCTGTGACTTTAATTATCATTATGTGGTGCTCCCTCTCCGGCCTCTGTCTGAAGACTTCTGGTCCCGGTGTCGGGTGCGCATCTCCACGTGAGCGGACGAGAAGCACCTCACGTTGGCGCACGCGGCACTGGGCTTCGGGGGACCTTCCCTGACCCTGTGTCTGGGCTCAAGCCCCCCCACCCCTTGAGCCCCCAGAGCATTCAGCACGGAGCTCTAGCCTGTCATCTCGTCACATACGGTATTCTAGCAGCTGCTTGCTTGCTTCTTTTTTCATGGAACTGCACACATGTTGAGGTCAGGGTTTGCTCACAGCTGTGTCCTGAGCGCCTGGCTTAGTGTCCACCATATAGAAGACACCGGTAAATGTTTGTTCAGTGAGTACGTGATGGGAGCACGCTCAGGATTATTGTATGTAACGTGTGGCAAACATGTTTACAATACGGTCATTTTGTCCCGAAGTACAGAGTCGTCTGACTTGGCCACGTGTGTTTTCACATTCCAGGAGCATTTAGATAGCGCCCACGGGTCGGTGCACTCGCTGGATGCGGACTTACTGTTGCCGTCTGGAGACCCGTTCGGTAAATCGGAAACAGACGTGTTCAAAGACGGACTCAGGAGAGCACAGTCTACCGACAGCTTGGGAACCTCAGGCTCCCTGCAGTCCAAAGCTTTAGGCTATAACTACAAAGCAAAATCTGCCGGAAACCTGGACGAATCGGATTTTGGACCGTTGGTCGGGGCAGATTCGGTGTCTGAGAACTTCGATACTGCTTCCCTGGGGTCCCTGCAAATGCCAAGCGGGTTCATGCTCACCAAAGATCAGGAGAGGGCGATCAAGGCCATGACACCCGAGCAAGAGGAGACCGCGTCGCTCCTCTCCAGTGTCACCCAGGGCGTGGAGAGTGCTTACGTGTCCCCCAGTGGTTACCGCCTGGTCAGCGAGACCGAATGGAACCTCCTGCAGAAAGAGGTGAGCTGTCCTCCGGACTTCCTCTCTCGTGCGCGCTGTGGGGGATAGCGGGTAGCTGTGGGGTTTGCTGTCAGTTCACGAGATACCCCGGAGTCCCTGCACGCACGTGACTGCCGGTCCAGGTGGCTGTGGCCGGGGAGGGAGCTGACTGGCCGATCACGCTGCCTGTGAACTGCCCCCCCCCCCCCCCGCCCCCCGGAGTCCCACCTGAGCTGGACCACAGGCAGCTTTCTGTTGGAGGAGCCTAAACCTGGTTTGCTCTGCGCTTGTCTCCAGTCTCTCCTGGAGAGCTGAAGCGCAAATGCTCGTCAGCAGTTGATGAGCCAGTGCGTGCGTGTGAGGAGGGGGCGGAAACTGCGGGAGAGAGAGGTTCACCTTCCTCCTAAGCGTGTTTGCCAACTCAGAAGTACGATTAGGAGCTAAACTTTGCGCCTTGCGCAGTGGCTCGCGGGTTCACACAGCCCTGTGTTCCAGCTTTGGGATGGCAGTGCCGTCGTCCCCAGCTTTACGGGGGAGGGCTTTGCTCCAGGCTGCGGGAGTCGTGCAGGTGTTCCCGGGAACTGGGAGCAGGGAGAGGGGGGCAGGGGCCGGGTTCTCTGACTCGCAGCACTTTCTTTCATGGGGCCCACGTCTCCTGAAGGAACTGTTGAGCGGAACCGCGTTCGAAGCCTCACAGCAGCCGCCCCCCTTGGTCTCACGCAGGACGCGTAGCTTACGGGGTGGCGGCTTGTGGTTGGCCCGTGGGCGCTGGTTGCTCCCGGCCACGGCCCCTCTCCTGGTGGCGTACTCACTCACGGTGTGTGGCTCTCGGCTTGGGACCCGTGGCCTCGTGTTTTCCTCCAGTGCCGTATCTCGTGGCCCTTGTTTTCCTGTCGTGTTTGTATTGGCGTTTACGGCACCTTAGAATCCAGCCCTGTATTGCCATAAATCTCTGAAGACATTGTCTTCCCCGTCCCCGTTCCCCTCTGAGTAACGTAGGTACGACTGCGCGTGTTCAAGTGTGCGATGTGGAATTATGTTGTTCTGCCTGATAAGAGGTCATTTTGGTGCCTTCAGGTACATAACGCGGGAAATAAACTTGGTAGACGTTGCGATATGTGTTCCAATTATGAGAAGCAGTTACAAGGGATTCAGATTCAGGAGGCTGAGACCAGAGACCAGGTGAGTTGCTTTCGGCACGCCAAGCTGCTGGTGTTGTCCTTCTCACCGGAGGCGCAGAAATAATGGCTTCTTGCCTCCCATTTGCTTGGTGAAGTATATCCCTGTGAAATACGAAATAAGCCGGTTTGTGCAGCGTCAGCCTCATTCCCCAGGGGCCACAGCAGGACCTCCCCTTCTGTCCCTTCTGTCTGGGCTTGGTTAGCTAGCCTAGCACCACGCAGGCCGGCTCCGCTCTCGCAGGGCCAGGAGCAGCGGGCATCAGATCTCGCCGCCTGCGCCCCTGCCCGCGGCCGCCGGCCACATCGTCAGGAGCGTGCGCCCCTGCACAGTGCTTCCCCGTGCGGGGCCTGACGGAGCTGCAGCTGACTGCGAGAAGCTTAGTTGAATATCCTCATGACCATTATTTAGAGTCTTCATTGCTTATTGCCTCCTTCTTGTCGGAAATCTGTTGAACTGATTAAGGTTAGTTTTCAGGAGCACAGAAATTAAGATTTGGTAGATTTTGCATGCAGAGATTGACCCGTACCTTTCCTAATACAGTGTCTAATGATGGATTCCTTGAGAACATTTAGGGAATGTAGAATTTCAGGAGAGTAGGCTTGTGAAAGGATATAGAAGGAAAAGATTTTTCTTATATTTCCAAATTGTTATTTGATTATTGTAAAGATTGTTCCCTTAGTTCCCTTAAAATAAAGTAAGCAGATTAGAATGATGGTTTAATATTTTCAAATGCCATTGGCTTTCGTTTCCTCCGTATGTACTAGTTTCTGTAGATGCTGGAAACATAAATTTCTAGAGGCACAGAGGGGCATGTAGCCTCACTGTGCGCTCAGGGAAGGTAACGCTTGAGCTAGGTTCATTTTAGAGCTGGAATAAAAATCAGGAGAAGAAATGGGAAAGGGTGTTCAAGGACAGGAAAGGTGGCGCAAAGGAACAGTTATGAAGGGGACCACTGTGTTCTGGAAGCACGAATTGCGCATGGGCTGTGTGGGGGGCATGGGAGGGGAGAGGACGTTACAGAGGGAGGCCAGGATGAGATCGCTGAGGGAGCGGTGCTGGTGGACGGTGTTTGGATTCTGCCCTGAAGACTTTGGGACGCATTTAGAAACTCCAGGTAGGGAAATAATATGATTTGACTTTTGTTTTAGAAAAAAATCATAGTGTTAGTGTGGGTTGCAGATTGGAGGCCAAGGATAGCCCAGAGTAAGGGGGCGGTGCCCCGGCCTGCAGGGCCAGGCGGAAGAGCAGACCTTCTGGAACGAGGTAACGTACGTGAGAAGGGATTTGTTAACTGTAGAGCACAGCACCGACCCCGAATGAGGTCAGTCGTTCTGAATTGACAAATCAGGAAGAAAAAAGATGAGGTTCTTAAAATTTCTAGAGCTAGGGCTTTTTTTTCCATGAATGAAAGAATCCTCGGGAACTTGTCCCTATTGGCATTTACAATTGCGCAGGTGAAGAAACTGCAGGCGATGCTGAGGCAGGCGAATGAGCAGCTGGAGGGGACGGCGAGGGAACGGCAGGAGCTGGAGGGCGCTCTGAGTCGCAGCGCCCAGGACGCCGGCCACCAGGTACGTGGGGCCTGGGCACCCCCATGCCACCCGCCCGGATGCCCGCGCGGCCCAGAGGCGGCTGCTCTGCAATCACAGCCCTGTCTCTCCCCCACCTGAGCCCTGTCTTCCCTCAGGGAGTAAAGATCTCTTCCGGATCTGTTCCTGCTGTCGGTCTTCCAGATCTTTGACCAGTAACTGCGTAAATGACTGTGTACTGGATATCCGCAAGCTCTCGTTTTTCTGTTTTCAGTAGGTTTTTCTGCTGCACACAAAAAGCTTCCTGACAGGAATGATACTTTTTTTTTTTTTTAAAGATTTTATTTATTTATTTGACAGAGAGAGACACAGCGAGAGCAGGAACACAAGCAGGGGGAGCAGGAGAGGGAGAAGCAGGCTTCCCGCGGAGCAGAGAGCCCGATGCGGGGCTCGATCCCAGGACCCTGGGATCATGACCTGAGCCGAAGGCAGACGCTTAACGACTGAGCCACCCAGGCGCCCCAGGAATGATACTTTTTAAATTCCCCTGGGCTTATTAAATGTATGACAAATGGAGAAAACTCAGACCTGCACAACAGACCCAGCACACCAGCACACCCCTCCACGTCGCCCGCCAGGGCCGAACAGCAGGACGCGAGCCCGCGTGCCAGGCCCGCCCCTCCTGGCTTCTGTCCCCATCCGCTGAGTCCGCGTGTGGCATCTCGTCTTCCTCATGCGGCGTCATGAGGCTCTTCTCACCCGACGCTGGGGTGCCGGCTGCTTCCCCGTGCTTGTCGTACGCTTTGTACCGTGTACGGATCCGTCCGTCTGTCCGTCGCGACATGCGTTGGGTGGTTTCCGGTTCTGCGACGTTAGGGATGATTCTGCTGTGAAGGTTCCGGATGGGTCTTGTGGCGCGTGCTTCCGCCGGGGGTGCCGTGCCCAGGTCGGGGTGTTCAGAACGCACTCTGTGTGTAACAGTGGGTGACAAGCCAGACCGTGTCCACGGTGGTCGTCCACATTTACACTCCCGCCAGCACGAACGGGGAGTCCCTGTGGGCCCGTCGTCCTGGTAGCTGGTGGTGGTGCTTCACGGAGGCTTCGTTTGCATTTGCCTGAAGACCCCCGGGCTACGTGGCGTTTGTCCTGTTTCTGGACCGCTGGGATATGCGTGTGTGTGTGAGTCCTCTCAAGTCTTATGCCGAGTTCCTATTGGATTGTCTAGTCTTTGTTTCATTTATCTGTTTTTGGTTCTTTTTCCGATTTGTTAGAAGCTCTTTATACAGTCGTACTAGAGCCTTTTGGTGACTTATGTGACACATGTCTGCCCCTCAGTATTTTATGTTTTCATTATTTTAATGGTGCCTTTTTTTTTTTTTTAAGATTTATTTATTTGAGAGAGCGAGAATGAGAGAGAGCACATGAGAGGGGGGAAGGTCAGAGGGAGAAGCAGGCTCCCTGCCGAGCAGGGAGCCCGATGCGGGACTCGATACAGGGACTCCAGGATCATGACCTGAGCCGAAGGCAGTCGCTTAACCAACTGAGCCACCCAGGTGCCCCTTAATGGTGCCTTTTGATGAACAGAAGTTCTTGATTTTCGCGTAGTCAAATTTATTGATCTTTATGATGGGTGATTTTTGTTCCGTTTTTTAAAAGAATATTTTCTTGGGGCGCCTGGGTTGCGCAGTCAGTTGAGCATCCAACTCTTGATCTCGGCTCAGGTCATGACCTCAGGGTCGTGGGACTGAGCCCCACGTTGGGCTCTGAGCTCAGCGGGGAGTCTCTTTGAGCTTCTTTCCCTCCATCTTCCTCCCCCTCTGTTCCTCTCCCTGCTCATGTGCTTGTGCTCACTCTCTCTCTAAATAATAAAAATCTTAAAAAAAAAAGAATATTTTCTTACCCTGGTGTTAAAAAGATGTTTTTATGTATTTTTGTAGAAGCTTCATTGTTTGTAGTCACATTTATATCTAAAAATTCATCTAGAACTGACTTTGCTCTAGGTGCTGTCTAGATAAGGGTGAAATTTTATTTTTTCCGTATGGATAGCCAGTTCCTGTACCACTTAAGTTCCTACTGCTCTGCAAGGTCATCTGTGTCATTCATCAAGTGAATATGTGGGGGGGGGGGCGCGTCAGTTTCAGGACTCTGTTCTCTTCCATTGGTCTCTTTGTCTATTTCTATGCCACATTCTCTAGCCCTCATCCCCGAGAATGCCCCCCCGCTCTTCCGCTTCGGGGGCCCTGCCCTGGCGCTGGGATCAGAGTCTGGGCCCCTGCGCCCACAGCTGTCGCGGCTCTATGGTGGGGCAGTCTTCGCTGCCACGGAAGTGGGAAAGCCCCCTATGAGCAGTCAGTTCCCTCCTGGGTCAGTTGCTTCTTCCCCTGGTGACTTCCTTCTCTCATCTGTCTGCCTTTGCTTATTTTTCAGAGTCCTTGGGTAGCTTTTGTATTTATCCAGAGTTTTTAGTTGTAATCAGGGTAGAGAAAGGCGGCTGTGGGCCTCGTCTGTCTTGGAAGTCTCCGCGCTCTCATATTTTTGTTTATTTAGACAGATCTTTTTATTTCCGCCTTCATCCAAAAAGGATACTTGGCCGGCTGTGGCATCCTGAGCACTTACGCTGATCTTCTCCAGCACTTGGAAGTTACTGGTTTGTTCTGGCTCCCCAGTTTCTCATAAGAAGTCCACTGTCGGTCTTACTGTTGCTCCTTTAGGTAAAATGTTGTTTTTTCCCCTGGCTATTTTAAGGATGCTCTTTTTGGCTTTTGTTTTCAGCAGTTTTACTGTGCTGTACCTATGTGTATTTTTTTCATATTTCTCCTGTTTGGGATTCTCGGAGGGTTTCTTAGATTTCTGAGTTTATGTCTTACATCATAGTTGGAATATTCTCAGCCATTATGTATCTTTTAAAACTTGCTTTTATTGAGATACTACAATAAAGTGCATAAATCTCAAGTGTAAAATTTGGTGAATTTTAACATGTGAAAAAATTTACCAGGGCGATCATCACCTGGGTCAAGATACAGACTTTCTGATATATCGTGCTCACAGAGCTGCCCGCGCAGAGAGGCAGGCAGGGTTCTGACTTCGAACACTGTTTCGTAGTGCTCACTCTTGAACTTCATGTAAGTTCAGGGGAATCCTGTCGTCCCATCTGGGCTATTTGATTCTTCTGTGCGTGAGGCCCCTGCATGTTGCTGCGTACATCGGTGGTTAGAGATTCTTGCTGTGTGCGTTCTGTTACACGGATGTGGCATGATATATCCAGTGCAGGTGGGGACGCTTGCGTTGTTTCTAGTTTTGGCTTTTGTGAACATACGTTTTCTAATGCTCCTGTGTGTGTCTTCGGTGGATGTGTGGCCTCATTTCTCTGGAGCATCCCTCAGAGTAGATTACAGGGTTTCTGCATTGGCTTATTTTTAGCTCCACTGGGTCGGCGGTATTTCTTCCAATACTCATATATGTTACACCTGCATGTTGTGGCTACGTGGCTTTTTAAGGCTCTTTTGTGTTTTTGTCTTTATTTTCTTCAGATATGTCTTACAGCTCACTGACTTTCTCTTCAAATGGGTCTAATCTGTTAAAACTCATCCATTGAAATTTTTAACTTAGATAATTGATTTTTTAAATTCTGTTTATCATTTCCTTTTGGTTACTTTCCATTTTTTCCAGTTCTCTGGTAGTTCTAAATTCTGTCTTTTAAATCTCTGGACATTTTAAAGTCTGTAATAATTCGCAAATCTGGGTTCATTTTAGATCTGTTTGTATTACCTGTGTTGTTTTTTATTATCTCTTTTTGTTTTTATCCTGTCCTTTGTGCATTTTTACTTGAGCGCTAGACATTTATGTGAAAATGTTGAAATAATATAATGCCATTTTCTTGGGGAGCCTGGGTGGCTCAGTCGGTGAAGCGTCTGCCTTCGGCTCAGATCGTGATCCCAGGGTCCTGGTATCGAGCCCCGCATTGGGCTCCCTGCTCAGCCGGGAGCCTGCTTCTCCCTCTGCCTCTGCCTCTCCTCCTTGCTCATGCTCTCTCTCTCAGATAAATAAATAAAACTCTTAAAAAAAAAAAAAAGCCATTTTCCTGATGAGAGGCAAGCAACTAGTGGGCCTTACAATCCTGGACCACCTTCATCCAGCCACAGGAATTGAGATTATACAAACTTGCAAGGTCAGGTTAAAGTCTTCCCTAACCCTCTGGGGACCCAGTCCATGGTGCAGCGTGTTTCCCAGGCTCCCTTTGCACGGTGGGTCCTGGGCTCTCATGTCTGCCCCCCCACCCTGGGGCGCTCAGCTTCGTGGGGTCACGTGTGTTTCTCTGGGAACTGGCACGCGCTTCTAGGGAAGAGCTGTTCCGGATGCCTCTTGACTCTCCACACGGCCTCCGTCTGGTCCGGGGCTCTGAATCTTTTTTGCCCTGTTCTCCAGTGCCTTCAGGTAGATACCATTCATATTTTTGTCTGGTTTTCCTAATTCTCAACAGGAAGTTTGTGTCCACAACCTGATCTGCCCGTATGGGAGGAGAGTACTGGCAGTAATCATGCTCTCAATGTCCAAACACATGGGTGTTGATTTATTTTATAATTGTTACGTACGAGTCCCCAACTCTCACAGGACCCCTCTCAGAAACATTAAAACTAAGGGAGTTGAGAGTTCAGTGATGTTAATCATGTGTTTATTGCTTTTAAGGAAATCATCTTGGAAGACTGAAGCTAGTTCAGAGAAGATCCATTTATGCTTTACACTGTGTGCTTTTTTGTGTGTGTGTGGGCAGAGTTCAAAATCTTTATCGATTTTTGTCTAAAAGCTCCCTGAAGGGTAATATAAGTAGGCCCTGTGGATTGACATCTGTGTCTAGAAACCCATACAGCACTGTCCGTGTTCGGCAGGGCATGACCCCGGGGACCTCTGCTGCTGAGAGGGGCCGAGACACACAGGCATGCACGTCTCTGGAATGAGTGATGATGGGTTATGATAAAGGAAGAAAACACCAGTTCTGGATATGAAATAAGCAGGGGATGGAAGGGTTCGTGTCAGAATCACCAGCTTCCTAACGATACTGTCTTTGTGCATTTTGTCTTTTAAGATCTCTGCACTCGTCCTAAGAGCCCAGGCGTCTGAGATCTTACTTGAAGAGTTACAGCAGGGGTTTTCCCAGGCAAAAAGGGATGTTCAGGAGCAGATGGTAAGTTAACATTTAAGTCGGCATTAGCCGTGTTAAATAGATTCCTTTTTGTTCGGTTGTGAGACCCTCTTTGCTACGACTGTGTCTCCCTGGCCCAGTGGCCACACCGTTCTGCTCTCTGGGCCTGAAGCAGCATTCGTAATGGACAAGCCTATGTAAAGACCTCACTCGTTTTTTAAACCTGCCTCCCAACCAAAAAACATTCTCACCTTTAACTTAGTTTACTTTTCTGATTTGGGCAACCTCAACAGAATAAACTGTCGACTCATAGTTGGTTCCAAATACAAGGTGAACATTGAAATCTCCCAAAACCCCAGCAGATGGAGCTTTTGAACCGTGCTTGTACTTTTCCTGACCCGCTGATTGATCGAAAGTAGCCTCGTTAGCCTCGCGGGCATTGACCCATGCGCCATCACCGCTGTCCTGCGGGGGTACTTCTGGAGGCCGTCTGCCTTGGGAGGGACGGGGCAGACAGCTTCTGGAAGAAGAGCTGGCTGGGACCCCTGCTGAGGAGCTCCCCGGACTGGAGCCTCCTTCCTCACCAGGCTCGTTCCGTTTGCCTGTTCTTCCTTCTCCTCGAAGCTGGAACCCGACACCTGATGACCCTTTGTAGGTGATGGCAGAGTTGGCCCTGCTGGGATGATCCCACAGAGCTTTCTCTCGTCTAGCTCCGCCAGCAATGGTGGGGGGAAAGCCTCTGGCTGTATGGGAATGGTTTGTTTTTGACCGGCAGCCGGTCAGCATCTGAGTGCCTTTTGAGCTGATCCCTAAATACTAGCCCTGGTCTCTTGAGGAGCATCTCATTCTAATCATTGACCAGGGACTTCCATACCTTTTCATTGATCAGAGAATACGAAATGATAGCCGTCAGTGTAAAAATCACTGCTGGATGCCGACAGAATTTCAGTGCTTAGCTCCTTTCCCTTCTCTCTCCTCTCTCCTCTCCCCTGCTTGTCTTCTCAACCCCGTCTGCCTTTGCAAACAGTTCCGACTGGACTCCACTTAAAACGAATGTGTTGCAGGTCACGTAGAAGAAGTGTTCAGAGGAAGGTTGGGGTCCTGCCCGACCATCTTCTTGACTTGATCTTCGAAGGTTCTTGTAGCGAGGAAGAGGGGCTCCGTTTCTGTGTCCCTTCACGCGAGCAGCCATGGCGTGCCTGGGATCTTAGCATCCCCCCAGCAGTGTCTGTGGAAAATTGCCTGTCTTGAGCGGCTTATGGATTGAACACGCCTAATGTCTTCAGTTAGACTTACCCGTTGTCAGTATTTGGCCACATTTTCACGCATGCTGCTGTTTCCTCCATCTCTCCCATCTGTGTGTGTGTGTTTTCTGAGCCGTTAGGAAATCAGTTGCAGACTCCGTGCCACTCGGGAATATTTGCGAGAACAGAGAGGTGGTTCTACTCCACCAGTGCTGTTCTCACATCCTTAGAGTGTGACCGTGGTCCCCAAAGTGCGTGGTTGTTTGTAGAGGTGGTTTCAGTTTTTAATTCTGACTTTTTTAGGAGGAACCAGTCAAGGGTCACATACTGTTTTTGACTGTCTTGTCACTTTAGTCTCCGATAATCTAGAAGTCGCCCTTTTTTTGGGGGGGGGGGGGCGTTTTGTGAGATTAGCATTTTTGCGGAGCCCAGACCAGCTGCCTCCTAGGATCATGTGTCTGGTTACTCCCGCACGACTTGGTTCAGGCTAGAGGTCTGGGCGTCCACGGCACAGAGCTGTAGCGCATCAGTGGGGGCTCCGAGCAGCAGGGGGCGCGCTCCGTCTGGTCACTTGGTTGGGGCAGGGACACCACAGTTTCCGAGACCACCTTAGTGGGGCCAGCAGCAGAAGTATTGAGTGAGGTTCCGTGTTTCTTTGTAGCTCTTGCTCTTTGAATGTATCCCAGCTAAGGATTTACGGTCAGCCTGCTGTGTTTCCAAAGTTACTTGAATTAACTGTTTCCTTTGTGGTTATGTTACTAGTTTGATACGTGGTGAGCTCCATTTGTTTCTGTTTGTATTACATTTTCGGATTTTCCTTTTTCTTTTTTGATTTATTTTTTTTTGAACATGCAACATGGTTCATAAGTCAAAACTATAGAAATGGATACATGTTCCGATTTCTTCCATTCCCTGTTCCTTTCACGCCATTCGTACCCCCTTCCATGTATGATCATTTTAATTTATTTTTGGTTTATCCTTATGCTTTTCTCTTTATGAAGGTAGGAACTATATACATTTTATTCTTTCCCCCTTTCTCATGTCCCAGAGAGTGGAATGCTAACATACTGTTGTAGATGGGTTAAAAGTGAGCATAAAGCACAGTGGATTCTGGTCTGAAGATAAGTAAGAGCCAGCAAAATTAACCAAAATTTATGTGTGACCTTGCATGCCGTCCAGCAGCCTTTCTGTCCTTCAGGATGCAGCGATCACTTTCTCTGGGAAATGACCTTGAGCCTCTCCCCTCGGAACCCCTGTGTCCTTTGACCCTGCTGCCCCCGTTCTCTGTCCTCGTGCTCGCACTTGCCCTGGGTTGTCACTTTCCTGAGCTCTCCCTCCACCGCACCGTGAGCTTCTCCCGGGAGGAGGCTCTGGCTTTTATCTCTGTGTCCCCGTGTGCAGCACAGGGCCTCGTATGGCGTGGCAGCTGCTAAAGGAATGTTGGAGCAGTGAGTAGTCTACACTTACACATACGTTTAAGTTAAACGACTGCGTATTAAAAATTAACAGAAGTCAAATACTTTTGTAGAAATAACACTCAAATTAGCTGGAATAACTTTTATATTGATTCAGATTCTCGTTACCTAAAATTATACTGCACGTCTGCACGTAGAAGTAGGAGCCTGTCCCATTTTAAGAATGAGCTGCTCAGGTGTCCTGTCCTAAGCATGGGTCCTCCTGATGACTTCCAGTATTTGGGGTCGTTGGGCCACTCAGAGATCATGAGCTGATTGTGTATATATATATGTATATTCTGTGCACGCACGCACGCATGAAGGAGGAAGACGGTGGTGTTTGGCTCTCCCTGCTTCTGGTGAATGTGTGCTGTGAGGAGACGGGTTGTTTTGCAATATGTGCTGCAGGTCTGTTGTAAGACCTGGCTGCGTCAGCGCAGGAGACAGAGGTATCGGGGAACAGATTCAGTACTTTGAAGCTGTTGGTGGAGGCCGTGGAGAATGGGCTCAGAGGCTTGCTTCCTGCCTGCCTCCCTGAGTAGAAGAAAAGACTGCAGATGGAAGCGTGTCTGGGCGGCTTCTTGTCCGTTGTACAGAGCGTGGTTGTGCGCCCCCCGTCCTCGGCCCTTCTTCGGTTCGGCCTGGGTTTTCTCTGGGGCAGCGGACAGGACTCAACCTGTGTGGCTGTGACTACCGTTTGTGTTTCAGGCGGTGCTGATGCAGTCGCGGGAGCAGGTCTCAGAGGAGCTGGCGAGGTTACAGAAAGACAACGACAGTCTGCAGGGAAAGCATAGCTTGCACGTGGCCCTGCAGCAAGCGGAAGACTTCATTCTCCCAGACACTGTGGAGGTAACTCGTTTTCCGCGGGATCACAGATGCAGACAGATACATTTTCTGAAATGGCTGCCAGCCAATTCTGGCTTAAAACAGGCTTTATTGATAGAATTCACACACCAAATAATTGACCCATGTAAAGCGTACAGTTCAGTGGTTTTTAGTATGTTCTCGGATGTGACCACGGTCAATTTCAGAACATGTCTATAACCTTAGAAAGAAGCCCCTTGCCCTTCCTGCTCCCCTCCGCCCTGCCGTAAGCAGCTGCTCAGCTCTTTTCCTCCTGTGGATCGCCCTGCTGTGGACTTCCATAGGACTGGAAGCCTGCAGTGTGTGGGTTGTGCGTGGTTCTTCCTCACAGCCCACTGTTGTCAGGGTCACCGTGGTGTAGAGCAGTGTCCGAGCGCCGTCCCTTCTTGTGGCCATGTGGACGCTTTGTTTACCCGCCGGCCTGTGGTTGGGCATTCGGGGTGTCCACACGTGTAAACATCCACGTGCACATTTGGGGTAGTTTGCCTGGGGGACAGACCTCGGAGCGGAGTCGCGGGGGCCCGTGAGGATTTCTCCCGTCCTCGCTGTACCTGTCTCCCTCAGCTGACCCTGAGCGTCTGCCTGTGTGTTTACTGGCCAGTTGTCTGTGTTCCTTGGAGAAGTGTCTATTCAGATCGTTTGCTCATTTCTAAATTGGGTTATTTATTTTTTATTGTGGAGTCGTATGGCTCTCTATATGGTCTAGATCTAAGTCCGTCACCAGAGAAACGATTTGCAGATCTTCCCCCCATGCTGTGGATGGTCTTTTTCCTGCCTTGACGGGGCCCTCTGAAGCACAAAAGCTCTGAGCTTTGAGAGAGTCTGGTTTACGTATTTTCCCTCCTGCCGCCCGTGCTTTCAGTGTCCCAGGAGTCCTTGGCCGAATCGCTCTGTGAGTGACTCCGGCAGGACCAGACTGAGAATGCATCAGAAATGAAATGTGTGAAGGGTTCGCCAGGCTTGGTTTTCTGTATCACACTGTAAAGGGTGGAAGGCACCTGCCACCCTCCTGCCCTTAACTTTTATGACACGTTGGGCACTTCTGTTCCTCTGTCATTGGGTGAATCTGGGCTGTGAAACCACCTGCTTCCCAGAGACGTTCATGACCGTCTCCCATCCGTGTACTGACTGGGCCTGAGATCAGACGGATCTGGCGCATTCACATCTCCTGACCCTCCGCACCCTCGTGTTGCCCCGTCGTCAAATCCTTCAACATCAGCAAACCGCATCTGAGGCTAAACCTAAGGAGACTGTAAACAGTATAGACAAGGAAGAGATTTCTTTGAGCAATTTTCAAAATAAAATAGATGTTACTTGTGAGATCTTTCAGTTTTTTAAAAAAAATTATAGTTATCTAAAAATCAACATTACAGAAATTCATGGTTTTGTAACAGTTTTCCCTGATCCTGTCCTGCAGATCCAACCTCTACAATTTGGGCCTCATTCTTTTTTTTTTTTTTTTTTAAGATTTTATTTATTTATTTGAGACAGACAGAATGAGAGACAGAGAGCATGAGAAGGAGGAAGGTCAGAGGGAGAAGCAGACTCCCTGCTGAGCAGGGAGCCCGATGCAGGACTCGATCCAGGGACTCCAGGATCATGACCTGAGCCGAAGGCAGTCGCTTAACCGACTGAGCCACCTAGGCGCCCTGGGCCTCATTCTTTTTTTATTCCTGTATACATATTAACATTACTACTGGTTTTTGCTTTTATTTACTCCTGGGGCCACGTTGCTGACTTGCCATTGGCACCCTGTCTCTGCCCCCTGCCCTCCCAACCCTGTGTCTCTGTGCAGGTCGCTGGTGCTCCCCTTTGTGACCTGGTGGCTGATCTCCGCAGAGAGAGTTTGAGAGTTTGAGTGCTCCCAGCACTGCCGCCTTCTGATGAGCGGTTCTCTGCAGGGGTGGGATCCTCTTTCCCGGACTCCCTAGACTTTGAATTCCTAGATTGACCACACTTCCTAGAATGCTTGAAGGGTGTAACCAGGTGGCCTGTGAGGCCTGATTCTTAGACCTGCTCCCGGAGTAAATCTTCGGAGGCTTTCCTTACCACAGTTTTCTCATTACTCTTTTTTCTGCTGTTACTGATTTTATATACATCTGGTTTAAGAATCCCAGCGTTTACCTTAGAGGTGCTTTAGGATATGATTGGATTTTTTAAAAAGAAGACAACTAAAATTTAGGGAAATAAATAGGATTTAAACTGAATTTATTATAGAAAAACGGGATCACCTTGGAAGGCTGCTCTTTGCGCCACGGCCTCTGGCCTAGCTAGCACTTGGCTTGTGGCAGACGTTCAGCAATGTAAGCGTCTGAGTCCACGCGTGAGTAAATACACTTGGTCCTCAGATTCCACACTTGCTTTGGAGTTTACACCTTCTGGGTCCTCACCCCCTAGCAACCCCAGATTTACCAGCTGATTGTGGGAGCCGCGAAGCCCTTCATAGTGGTTCCCCCACTGGAAGTCCCTTAACGTTTTTGCTTTTCTGCTTATGAGCCAGTTTTGAGGGAGAGACGTGCAGTCCACAGTGCACGTTCCTGGCCGGAAAGGTCTTATTTCCGCGCCATGCTGAACGTCACCGCCGGGAGCCCTGAGGGAGCTGGCGCTCCGGCTTAGCTTCTGCACCATTTAAAACCCGCGAGTCTGGTGGCAGAAAATGTCGGGGGGGCTCTCATGGCCGCTGCCGTCACAAACCCGGTGGGCATTGTTTCTCGGGTGCAGGCGCTGCGGGAGCTGGTCCTCAAATACCGAGAGAGCATCGTGCACGTGCGGACCGCGGCCGAGCACACGGAGGAGAAGCTGAAGGCTGAGATCCTGTTCCTGAAAGAGCAGATTCAGGCGGAGCAGTGCTTAAAAGAGAACCTGGAGGAGACCCTGCAGCTGGAGATAGAAAACTGCAAGGAGGAGCTAGGTGAGCACGCGGCCGGGCTGCGAGCTGCGGGGCGGAGTGCAGGGTCCCGGGGAAGTGGGCGGGGGCCTCGGGCCGTGGGCGGGGCCGGGGAGAAGTGGGCGGGGACGCGGGCCGTGGGCGGGGCCGGGGGGAAGTGGCCGTGGGCGGGGCCGACTTTGGGATTATGAACAGTACTGTCTGGTTTCAGAATGTGGAAGGCAGAACGTGGGTAGGGGAGGTATAGGGAAGAACGAAGGGCTTATCCGATGTTCTGATACATCCAGAGCAAATTCAAATGTAATTGGGACTTAAGAACAACAAAAATCCCCTATTTCGGGGAGCGGAGCTGGCCGCTCCTGGCAGAACCCCGCGGTGTCCCCAGAGCCCTGCTGGGCTGCACCCCCACCCCCAGACTTCGACGTGGTGCAGGACACTTTCCGAGTGGCCTCGCTTGTGCTTGAGCTCCGTGCTGCCGCGGGGGGCCGGGGGGACTTGAGAAAGGGGCGCTGGTTTCCCGCGCTCGGTGTCTGACTGCTTTTTCATCGTTTGAGATCGAGCTTGTGGTAGAAAGGGGTGTAAACGAAGAAAACCCCACTGCAAAATAATCAGTGAGTGCTTACACTTCTCCTCTCTCCCTTCCAGCTTCCATTTCTAGCCTAAAAGCTGAACTAGAGAGAATAAAAGTGGAAAAGGGACAGGTGAGTCTCCTGAGGTTCGTGTTAGTTCCATCCACAGCGGGGAGTTGTTCCTGGGGAGCGTCTGCCGGCTGCCCCCGCGCTGCGCTTGCTGGGCCTGCTCTGTGCGCCGGGACGCTGTGGCCGCGCCGGGTGTCTGCTGCGGGAGGGGATGTTTCCCCCTGGCTTGGGGTCCTCTTGACATCGACACCTCTGCCAGCCGACCCCGTGACCTGCGGCCCACTGGGCGCGCCCTTCATCCCACAGGCTTGGCCGTCCGAGCCCCTCGTTCACACCCCTCCTTTCCCGCTGTCCGTGGCTTCCCCGGGCGGCCTTCGTTCCCTCTAAGCTGCTTGTCTCTTCACGCAGTCTCCACCGACGCCCGCGGGCCCGGACTCTGTCCGTCTCTGCCCCAGGCTGCCGAGGCCCTGGCTGAGCAGCACCGCGTGTCCATCCGTGTCCCCGTCCGCTGTCCCCTCCCTCCTCATGCCCCTCGCCCTCAGCTGTGACGGCCTCGCGCCCGCCCTCCACACGACCGCCTTCAGTGTCCTGGCTCCTCGCTGCGCGCCCTCCCCTCGCTCCCGGCCCGTGCTCGCTCCTTCAGGGAAGGGATGGCCTGCGTCTGCCGGCTCTTCTGTCGCCGATCCCTCCCAGTCGTGGGCCTGGAACTGTCCCCTCCTGATCTCTTTTCCACAAACATGCTGTGGTCCCCGGTGGGACTGCACGGCCTCCGGTCCCTCCACAGCCCCGCGCAGTCTGGCCGCCCGGGCAGACCTCACCCGCTTCGGAGCGCGTCCCATCTTGTCCACGTGCACCACCCATCGCCCCGCGTACTGCACCAGCCTGATGTTTCTCTGCCTCCAACGCGTACCCCTTCCAGTTCCTCTTCGTACTGAAGCCCAGCTGGTCTTTCAGAATTACTAGGTTGCGAACGACAACTCTGTCGCTGTCCCCAGGGTGGAGCCCGTGTTCCCGGCCCGGGGCCTCTCCCGCGTCTGCCTGCACGGCCTGGTGCGGCAGGGACTCACCCCAGTTCTGAGAGCCGTCACTCCCCCGCCCAAGTACCTTCCTGCCTTCTCCCCTTACCACCCGCTCCTTCCCCTGGAGAGTTTTTCTGTTAAGGGTCAAGGTCACGTCAGCTTCTCTGGCAGAATTAAACGCTGCTTCTCCGCGTTCACATGCCGTCAGTCCTGCAGCACACGTCTGTCTCCTGACTGCTCCGTCCCCAGGTCTTGGGACCTAGTAGGGACCTGACGGATGTCGGATGAAAGAAAGAGGGGGTCTTGAAGCCTGACCTGCAGGCGCCAGCGATGACAGGGTGGGGACAGGGTGGGGACAGCGCGGCCGCCGTTGTCCAGGGCCTGGGGCGCCCGAGGGCTGGGGCTGCTTCTCAGGCCCCAGGCACGGTCTCAGCTCGGTTTTCCCTTCCTTTCACAGCTGGAGGCCACCCTGGGGGAGAAGTCTCAGCAGCTCGAGGGCCTCCAGGAGATGAAAACCACTTTGGAGGAACAGTTAAAGAGAGAGGCTGCTGCTAAGGTGATATTTTTACGGGTAACTTAATAAAAGCGCTAAGCACCTGGGGTTGCAGGCTGCCTGTGTAGGAGAGGACGGGGCAGCTTGGAGCAGCGTCCCCCGAGGGCTGGCGGGCTGGCGGCGGGCGGGGGGGGTACCTTGTGAGAGTCGGCTGGGCCCCCACGGCCCGAAGCAGTGCTCTCAGCCGCCGTGGGCCCCGTCCCCCCGGTACGTGCTGCCCGAGGTCAGCCCGGTGAGGAGCAGCCAGCGCGAGGCTGACTGGGGGGCCCGGATCCTAGAACGGGTCTCCGCGAGCCACGGGCGCAGACCGCGTCTGTGTTCTGGATAGTTCTGTGTCCTCAGGCTCCCACGCTCCCGCTGAAGGGTTTCCCTGCCGGGCGGACTGGGAGTCGCGGGGCCGCTGGGGTGAGGTGAGCAGTGGGTGGCTTTGTACGCGCGCCATTTCAGGAGGACACGAGCGGGCTCAGGCCCGGGAGGCGCTGGATTCCGCGCGGCTGTCGTCCCGGAGACGCAGAGCTCGGCTTCCCGGGCCCTGCGGGACTCGGGCCTGTGGCTCCGGGGCCCTGCTCCTCACCGGAAGCTGTCTTGCAGGCGACTGTGGAGCAGCTGATGTTCGAAGAGAAGAACAAAGCTCAGAGGCTGCAGACGGAGCTCGACGTCAGTGAGCAAGTCCAGAGAGACTTCGTAAAGCTTTCTCAGACCCTTCAGGTGAGGACGGGACCCTCCCGGCCAGGCCGCGGCCTGCGCTGGGTTCCTCTCCTGGGTCCTGCTGGCCGCAGCACCGCCTTCCCTCTGCTGAGCGCCCCCCGAGCCGCTGCCCCGCACCCCTCCCTCCGAGGCCCAGCTTAGCGGGGTCCTCCCCGCGGAGCCTTGTCGCCCCCACGCCCGGCTGTAGTGTGCCTGCTGCCCTGGCCCTCGATGGACGCCTGTGGGGACATTCAGGAGGTTGTGCAGAACCCTCCAAGCTCGGGTTCGGTTTCCCCGAACTCGGCTGTGCAGTCTGCGGGGCCGGGGGTCATCCATGCCGCGGCCGCAGCCCTTAGCCTGGGCCTGTCGCACAGCAGCCCCCGGGGAGCGAATTGCTCTTTGACGGGCCCCGCGTCTGCCAAACCGAACCGGCTCGGGAAAACCCGGGCCCGAGGCGCACGCGCTTGACTCCGTGTCGCTTCCCAGGTGCAGCTGGAGCGGATCCGGCAGGCGGGCTCCCTGGAGCGGATCCGGGCGATCCTCAACGACACCAAGCTGACGGACATCAACCAGCTCCCCGAGACATGACACCCGAGCGGGACGCCGGCCTGCACCCTGGGTTTTTAACTCCTCTTAGAGCAACATTAATTATTATTTAACTCTTAACCGAAGAAGTCACAAGAAAGGGAGCCCGGAGCGATGCTTGCTTCTGGTGGGACAGGACGCTGCGGCGCGGGAGGCGTGCGCGCAAGGACTTTCCTGTGGGGACAGACGGACACACTGGACTCTGGGGGGGTGGGGTCCGCTTGGTGACGGAGGAAGTGCTGCTTTATCCAACGTTTTCCTGCCTTTAAAGCAACATCCCAATCGTGTTTGGAATTACATTTTCTGTTCCTAGATCTCGGAGGAGAGCCTTTCCTGTTTGTTGTCTCGAGTTCAGCAGTAACCGTATTCCGCTAGCAGACAGAGGTGTAGTGTGCTGTACGAGTATTTTATATTAAAATATGAAGTTCGCGAGCAGGCCATCGGCTAGGGAGTGTATCGCTCAGCTCAGTGCATTTTCTTTCTTTTTTACCATTTTATCTTGCGTTGGAGGACCTTCAATGCGACCGAGACTTGCCCGAGACCCACAGGACGGGGCGACGCCACCGATGCAGGTGCTGGATCAGTTGTGAGACTGAAAGCGTGGCGGGGCGCCCTGCATCGGAAGCCGAGGTTCGAGGAAAAGCACAAGAGACCGCGGAAGCACTTTTCTGCCCCCCTCCCCGGACGCGCTCTGCGGGCCCACAGGTACCAGGGTTGAGCTGAACGGGCACGTCTGCTCTTTTGAAAACTGTTTTAGTTTAGTTATTGGATCAGTGGAGAAAACAATATTAATAAAACAAGCTATGTCTGACATCTAGTATAAGCTTCTAAATCTGCTCATTTCCACCTCGAGTCCATGGGCCTCTGAGCCTTGTTTCTGATCATCCCAGACAGATGCCTAGTTTGTCTTTCCCTTTTCTGAGCTCGGTGTGGCATGCATACTGCCCGTGGGGGCCCCTGGGAAAGGCTGTTGGGGTCGCCACCAGGCCAGAGCCCTGCTGGTCGTGTCCGTTGAGGTCAGACCCCTCCCCTCCATGCAGAAAGCTCGGTGAGCATGAGGTGCCGGGCTCCCCCGCGCGTCAGGAAGCACAGGGACCGGGCTCGTGCTTACTGGCGGCCGGCTGGAGCCCTGCACACAGACGTGTCCTCAGGTGACCCTCGTGCTCAGCGCCGCGCAGCGGTAGTGACTGGATGACGGAGACTGGCTCAGCCACGGTCGACTTAGGGTTCAGAGTGGGTGGTCTTGCAGGATGGGGCTAGCCCAAAAAATCTGTCCCCCAAGGACAAGAAGAGGTCTACATCCCTCATTCCTTGGGCCCCTGGTGCAGTTCTGTCATAATTACGAATTTAACAGTAAGTACGAATTACGGAAATAGGGCTCTAGGCCCACCACGCATGAAACATTGTTAGTCGGTTTAAAGTTTCTCTGTATAACAAGTGCTACTTGGTTTGGAGAAAGGAACCTGCATCCTCACTGAGTTACAGGAGTTTCAGTACGTGCATGACGAGCCGCAGGCGGATTTCAGAGGACTGCAGCCGGGTCGTAACCTTCCTGAACGGCCTCCACCCGCTCCCGGTGAATGCCGGCACCTCGCAGACCGTTTCCTCCGTCTGGAACCGACGGCGGTCCGCCGCGGAACCCAACTGGGGGAGCCTGGCCGGGAACATGCTAGAGGAACCCCAGCAGAGACTCCTGGTTCTGCTCAGTGTTTCTCGTGTGAAACCACAGAGACGCTACCCGTGGAGGAAGCACTTCTAGAAACCGGGTTGTCTGAGAGACAGGAAGCGGCCGAGGAGGTGGGGTTCTGCCCCCGCAGACAAAGGACAGGCCGGCTGGGTTCCCCGCGCGTCCGTGCGCTCGCACGGCTGACCCGCCCTCTCACCTGGAACCTCCTTCCCTCCTGGCTTTTCCGCGGCGGTCACAGCCGTGTCCACCTTCTAGAACTCACACTGGAGGGTGCGAGAGATGACCTGACGCTGAGGACAACCCCGCGCCTGGCGAGGCTTCTCTCACACTGACGTCTGACGCACCTGGTGCCCGTCGGGGACCGCGCGCAGCCAGCGCCGCTCTGGAGGGTGGTCCTGCCTGTTGGTGGCCCCTGCCTGGCTCTGAGCGGGCCTCGGGGGTGATCGTGTGACTGCACTCGACACGTGTCCTCGAGAAAGTGTTGGCGTTAATCAGCCGCTGCCTCGTTCAGTCCTGGGGTTCTGGACGCTACCGTGTTGGCTGAGCACGGAGACGCGGGACGGTTTGGAACGATCCTAGTTCCTTGCTGAACACAATCCTAAACTTCAGCTTAAATACAAAGTACGTTCCAACTTCAAATAACAGCATTTATTAATTACAAAACCAGTATGAAAGACCAATCACCAGGGCCCAGTTCACCGACAGCGCCGCCGCGAAAGGTAGGTGAGGCCACCTGTCGGAGCCTCCGCCGCCTCGCCCCCCGGGGACCCGCTCCCCGTGCACTCAGAAGTTGACGTGGTTTCGGATATCATTGATCTGCTTCACCATCTCTCTTATGTGTTCGCCCCTGTAAGATCATAAAGTCACTCAGTTCCGGGGACGCAAGGAACGAACAAGGACGGCGTTAACGCTCGTGCTTGAGGAATTAAGCGGTGACGCTCAAGTGTGCGGGAAATGCGCCGCCGAAGCGAACCGCGCGAGGTTTCCACGCAGCGCCGTGGGGCTCGCTGCCCGGGGGCCCCGGCGGCCACGCGACACGGTCGCGTCTCTGCTCCTCCACCATCCTCTGCCCCTCGGTCCCCGGGACCCGTGAACGCGGGCGGCGCGGCGGGCGGCACTTACTCCTCCTTCAGGACGGACTGGATGCAGCGGCGCTGGTAGGCGCTGAGCGCGATGGCGGGCTTCTGCGGGCTCAGCACCTTCTCCATCTTCCGCTGCTGATAGTCCTTCTTCATGGCGACCTCGAGTGTCAGAACACGGGCCACGGTTCGCTGCGCGCCCGCCGCCCCTCGGACGGACGGCGCCCGCCGCCCCGCGCCCCGGCCTACCTGCTTGATGGCGTTGCCCAGGTGCCGCAGCTGCTCAGGGATCAGCTGCAGCTCCTTCTTCATGTCCCTCTCGCTGTCGGACAGAACCGGCAGCTGAGTGTGGAACTGGTGCAGCACGGTCTTCATCCTGGAGCGAGCCGGGCGGGCGTCGGAGGCCGCGGGGCGCCGGGCGCGCCCGAGCCCCGGTCCTCGAGCCCGGCCCTGTGCCCCTGCGGGCCGGGCCGGGGCTCCCCGCGCTGTCGCCCCGACGCCTCCCGGCGCGGGCAGCACCACCCCTGCCCCAACACGCTCAGTACCCGAGGGCTCGGACCGGAACGATCGCGGCCACTGACCTGTTCATGAGATCCTCCTGTTTCTCCTTGGCTTCCTCGTATTTGTCGGCCAAGCGCTCCGCCATTTCCCGGAGGCTCTTCCTAACGGCAGAAACCCAGGGGCGCTCGGGCTGCACCCGGAGGGCGGGGCCCAGGGCGCGCTTCTGCGTCCGCGTGTTTGAGCCCCAGCCGCGGCCGCGTCCCCCGCTCGCTGGGGCACTTACCTCTCCTCGCGGCAGTAACTGAGGTCCTCCAGCTGTTTCTTCTTTTGGTCACATAACAGCTTGACCCTGGGGGGACACGGAGCCTCAGCAGAAGCCGGGCCGCGCCGGGCCGCCGGCGGGTGCACGCGGGCGCGGGGCCGGGGTACCTGCGCTGGATCTCCTCCTTGGCCAGGTCCTGCTTCAGGATGTACTGCTCCCGGAACACCTGCGTGGCCCTGCTCAGCAACTGCAGGCATTCCTCCGGGGCGGGGGCCGCGTCCCCGTCGGACGACCTGGGAGTGGAGCGTCTGCCGTGACTCCCCGTCTGCCCCGCAGCCCCTCCCCCTGCGCCTGTCCACCCCCCACCCCGGCACCCCGACAGCCCAGGCGCCGATCCCCGCACGCCCAGCACGGCAGGACGTGGGAGACGAGCCTGCGGAGGACAGAGGACGGACAGGAGTGATGAACACGGGGACGGGAGCCCGGTAAAACCTGGACGCCCAGAGCTCGTACTTCAAAAAGGCGGGATTTGCAACACTACGTTGCAAAATGCTTCTGATGTGCTTTTCGAAAGAATCCGGGCTCTCGGCCAGAATGCGGAGGGGAGACTCCGCCGCTGCCACGTCTTCTCGGGTGCAGAGCAGGGGAGGAGACGCCGGGTGGACCGTGCTCCTGCAAGACACGGACGCGACCCAACGCCGTCTACCGCGGGCTCACCGGCTGCGAGCCCCGCGGGAGCCCCGTCCACGCGCAGCTGTGAGAACGCGACGAACTGGACAGCGTGGACAGCGCGTCTCCCGTGAGAGGGCGAGACTGCAGCTCTCTGCCCTGAAGGTCACCTTGGGGAAGCCGTCCCCCTAGTCCACCAACGCTGCCACGTGTCCCCGCGTGTCGGGACGGGATCTTCCCAATAAAGACGTTGAGCTGACAAAGGCAGCCCCCGAATACAAATTCATCATGGGCTCTGGTGACGTCCGTGAGGGCAGAGACCGTGTCTGTCACACAGTCTCGAGCACCGGACAGCTTTGTCACGTGAATAAACCGTGCCTCTCCCACGTGTGATTTTGCATCTGCTCCGACGGAGGGATTCTCCCAGCGGGATGGTCAAGCGTGTGGGGCACGAGGGCACTTACAGCAAGGGCCTTATGAGGCACTCGTAGGTGCTGGTGACGCAGACCATCGTGGGCCCCAGGATGTCGGGCACGATCCAGAAGCCCCGGATGGGCGCCGGCTGCCTGCAACAACAGGTCGCAGGGGCTGATGCTCGGCCGGGACGCGCCGCCCCTGCAGGAGCGTAGAGCTGGGGACTGGAAGGCCGCCATGCTGAGAGCCTGGAGGCCGTCGGGACAGGAGCCACCGGCTGCTGCCGGCTCGCACGCCAGGCCCGGCCTGGCGTGAGCGCTCGCGGACGCTCAGACCGCACAGGAGGCGAGCGTCCAGCGCCCAGCGCTCCTGCACCAGCTCGCAGGCCTTCACCCACGGTCTCCAGCCCCCGCCCTGTCCCGCCCGCGGGGAGGCGGAACTGGGTCCTGGCAGGGCCGGCGGCCCATCCGCTCGCGCCGCCCGCCGCTGCCCTTAAGCACAACCCTCCTTCCGGGCGGCTTCCCCCTCTTCTGGGAGGGGAGACGGTGCGGGGCTCTGGGAGTGAAAAGGCCTGTTTTCAGGGTGAAGCCTGCACCTGGGGAGCAAGAAGCTGTGACCGCGACCAGGCCCGGAGCAAGGACGCTGCAGGAACTGCAGCCTCCGGGTGACCCCCCTGCTCACAAGCTCCCCTCAGCCCCGGCCCTGCGGGAAGAAATCGCTATCCTGACTTGGTGCTTGGCGATTAAAAATCTGTGGATTCACACCTAAGCGACACGGTTTAATTCTACCTGTGTGAGAAGCATATACAAATGGGACTTACTCCCTGTTTCCCCCTTTCACTTTCTGACCCAGCAGGGCCTTCCCTGCGCGTCTCCCAGAGCCCCCAGCCCGTTCTGCCCGTCTGGAGCCTTCCCTGCTCGCCGCTGCTCTGCGGTCACCCCCAGGACCTCCCCCCACCCCGCGGCTGGGCTCCAGACGCTCAGGCCTCCTGCCCCATCGTGCGCCCTCCCCCGCGCTCCGTCCCCGCGGCCCGGCTCCCACACCCGCACGCCCCCCGTCCGCCCGAACCCACCCTTCCTCCTGGGCCCGTGTGCGGACGGCAGGACAGCGATGCAGTGACCCCAGTAAGGGCTGGGAGTCATTCTAGGTAGTTCCCTTCATTCACCGAACGTCCACGGACCATGTGTCCCTTGGCCAGAAACGGGGCGCAAGACAGTGTGACACAGACACGGTCTCTGCCCTCACGGACCTCACCCTAAACCCCAACTTCAGTACGTGTGACCGAGAGGGAACCAGGCAGACGGGGGCCCGGGAGCCCTCGCTGAAAACCTGACGTGAGCTCGGGGTCACACACGAGGACAAGTGCTCGCGAGGGGACGGCAGCAAACGGGGCGGAGCGCACAGTGTGCGGGCGGCCCGACCCACGGCCCCTCGGGTCAGCTGTCGTGTCCGCCGGGGGGCGACTTGAGTTCGGCTGGGACCGGGACCCGAGCGTGGGCAGACGCGGCCTTACCTGCAGGGCAGCGGCTTCGTGCACAGGATGTGCTCCACGAAGCACTTCTGCTCGGCGCCGAGCTCCTGCAGACTGTCCTTATCTTCCTCGTCTGCGGGGGGAGGGGCGCACCAGGTCAACGGCCGCGCGGCCCCGGGCACCAGCTGGACGCAGCCAAGTGCCCGCCTCGGACCGCGCCCTCCTGGCACGGGGCTCCCGGCCCAGCAGGGAGAGTGGGCTTTCCCCGGTCGGCTGCGGGAACGCGGGCGTGTTCCCGGCCGTGGTTCCGGGGCGGCCGCCGCCTCACGCACGCCTCGCGTGCCTCGGCGGGTTCTGCAACGGCTTTCCGAAATGTGATTGACAGCGGCCCACAGCCCACCACTTACGGTGTGTAACTCCAGGGGGTTTGCTGCACAAATTGTACACCCACCACCACAGAGATTTTAAAATCTTTTCACGAGGGGCGCCTGGGGGGGCTCAGTCGTTGAGCGTCTGCCTTCGGCTCAGGTCATGATCCCGGGGTCCTGGGTCGAGCCCCGCGTCGGGCTCCCTGCTCCGCGGGAAGCCTGCTTCTCCCTCTGCCTCTGCCCCTCCCCCTGCTTGTGCTCTCCCGCTCTTTCAAATAAAAAATCTTCAAAAAAAACCCAACTTCATTACCCAGAAGGAAGCCGCACACTCCTGAACGATCACGCGAGTTTGGCCAATGGCCCCAGGCCACCGCCACCACCCTCTGGCCTTCCCCCTCGGCGCACCTGCCTGCCCTGCACCGTCCCTGCACGTGCGCGGAGTCGGCGACAGGTGGCTGTCTGGGCGAGGCTCCCTGTGCCGCAGCCTGAGTCGGCGCCTCATCCGTCCTACTGTGGGCGGACACTCCGTCCGATGGCTGGATCGCTGCCCGATCGGCGGTGACAGACACACGGCCGTTTGGCTCTCACGAGGACACTGCTGTGAACGGCTGCTTACCGTGTTTGTGTGGACACGCGCGCGTGCACCGGGCAGCGGACCGCGGGGTCAGGCCGTCAGTCTGTGCGGGTCGCCTGGGGCACGGCCAGACTGTTTCCCTCGGTGCGGCACCACGTCGCGTGTCCGCAAGCCCTGTGCTGACCCCCCTCGCCAGGACCGGTTCTGACGGGCGTGAAGTCGCACCCGGCGGTCGTGTGGCGTCTCACCTCCAGGACTCCTGACACGGGACGTGGTCTCAGGCGCTACTGGCCGTCTGCACCTCATCGGAGGAACAAGGTCTACTCAAACCCTCTGTCCTGTTTTGAACTGGGCTCTTGCCTTCACGTTGCTCATTTCTACAGGCCCCTTTCGTATTCTAGCTGCAAGTCCGTTACCAGACAGGGATTTGCACTTACTCCCATCCCGGGGATTGTCTTTTCACTCCCGTAACAGTGTTTTCTTCTGAGAGGTGTATAGTTTTAGTTCTGCGATCCATTTTGAGTCATTCTTGCGTTACGGTGTGAGGAAGGGGTCCAATTCCGTCCTGTCGCAGGTGCACGCACACGTGTCCCAGTGCCACTGGTCAAAAAGACTGCTCTCCCCGCGCTGATCTCTGTTGGCGCCTTTGTGGAAACCAACTGGACTCTCCACCCCGTTCCATCGACCTATGCGAATCTCCTTATGTCAGCATCACGCTGTCTGCGGTGCCGGACCTTTTGTAAGAAGTTCTGAAATCGGCAAGTGTGGGTCCTCCAACTTTGTTCTTGTTTTTCAAGACTGTTGTGGCTAATCCAGGCCCTTGGAATTCCAAATGAATTTTAGGATCAGCCTGTCAATTTCTGCAAATTCTGACAGGGATGGCATTGGGTCTGCACATCGACTTAGCGATTATTGCCATTTAACAATACTAGGTTTTCTGATCCATGAACGTGGGGCATTTTTTATTTATTTAGGCTTATTTCTTTCAGTAACATTTTGTAATTTTAAGCCTATGTTTTACACTTTTATTAAATTCGTTCTTAAGCATTTTCTTTTGAAGCTACTACAAACGGGGCTGTGTTCTTATTTTTCTTTTGGCTTATTCACTACCAGTGCACAGAAACAGATGTTTGCACACTGCTCTTGTATCGTGCGAGCTCTCTGAAACCTTTATTAGTACAAACGCTTTTGTAACGGGTCCCCTATGATTTACTGTATAAAAGCTCACATTGTCTGAAGAGGGGTTCAGTTCTTCCTTTCTAATCTTGAAGCCTTTTATTTCATTTTCTGGGCTAGTTTCCTTGTCTGCCAGCTCAACACTGTTGAACACGAGGGGCAAGAGCAATGTGCTTGTGCTTCAGATCTTAAGGGAAAGTGTGGAAGGCAGAACTTGTAAACAGCCAAACTGGATATTCAGCGGAGGTTTGCTGAGCCGAAGTCAAGAGTCGGACTCTCAATGGACTGAGCCACCCAGGCGCCCCAATTCTAAACGACTTTTTGATAGAATCTGTGAAACATACTGAAAAGTACAAAAAACTCACCTGACCCAAGAAACTTGTGAAGTTTATGAATCCAAGTGAGCCCAACGCTGTGCACACCGGCCTCGTGAGTACAGTGGTATCTGGAGGGACACTTGGGATCTGCAAACGGAACCATGAACGATACGACAGCAGTCGTTAGAACACGGACATTCACCCCAGAAGCCCGCAAACACGTGTGTGGACAGAAGTGACAGACAGACGGTCTGCAGGTCCTTCCCACTGTGCTATTGTGTCAGGGCTTTTGAAACTTTAAAACCTGAATTCAATTTTCAAATATATTTTAAATATTTTTAAAAGCAATAAACACAACCCCAATATTTCTCAACAGAAGAGTTCACCAAAACATATACTTGTCCACCTCTGGGCGTTTACTTGCAGTCCCTCAAAGTAAAATGGGGCAGCTCTGCAGAAACATATGCGTCACTCCGCGAACGTACTCAAGCAAGTGCGTAAGTCACAGCCCGCCAGGACGACCGCGGACTCAGCAGTCCCAACACCACGCGTCCACACAGGCGTGGGGTGTCACTTCTCAACAATGTGGACTCACGGGTGGCTTTACGTTTAAGTTTTAATCCTTTTTTTTTAATTCCTTAAGTAAGATTACTCCCACCATGGGGCTTGAACTTATGTCCCTGAGATCAAGAGTCACATGCTCTTCCAATTGAGCCAGCCGGGCGCCCCAAATAAATATATATATATTTGGATATAATTCTTGTTTGACAATCCTTTATATTTACTTAATTTTTAAAAAGATTTATTTTAGAAAGCACGCACACATACATGCAGGAGAGAGGTGTGAGGGGGGAGAGAACCTCCAGCAGACTCTTCATGAGCATGGAGCCTCACGTGGGGCTCAATCTCACGACGCTGAGATCATGACCTCAGCTGAAATCAAGAGTAGGGCACCTAACTGACTGAGCCCCCAGGAACCCAGAGGATCCTTTATAGTTATACTAAGAAATATGAAAAATTGTTACGTAATTTAGATGAAATCTCCTATACTTCTTTCGAGCCCTAGTACCAGTGAGACTACCGGAGACTAAAAGATGAGTTCCTAAATATTTATGAATATTTATCGCTGTGACTCAGTACTTTCAAAACATTAAACAACTAAAACAAGATACAGAAATAATTTACATGCTAAAGCTGATTTAAGATGCAACTGTTGAGGGGTTGGCTCAGTCTGTGGGGCACGTGACTCTTGATCTCAGGGTCATGAGTTCAAGCCCCACTTTGGGTGTGGAGCCTACTTTAAAAAAAAAAAAGAAAAAAAGATGCAATTGTCATCCATAAGCCCCAGATGAAAATTTCCTCCTAACAGCCTTTCTTACTGTTGACTTCACAGTAAGTAAATGTTGTGAAGTGAATGTTAACATTTTTTTCCTGTTTTATATGTTGGGGTTCTGCATAACTACCCCCTGAAAACAGCATTATAGTAGTACAAAGTTTTAAAAATCCTGGTGTATGGCAGTCCTCTCCCTGAACAATAAAATATTAAAAAGTTTCTTTTCATCTGGCCAAACTGGAGACTTTATCTCAGGCTCAAATCATCTCATTAGGTCTACTGTTTCCAATGGCTTTTCAAAATGTGTCTGTGCTGAAGTCAAAAAAAAAATCTCAGTGTTGGGAAAGAAACAGAAATCTGTTACAAAAGAGGCAACATTCAAAACTGACGTAGGAATCTGTTAGACACCCTACTATTCGGTGGCCACTCACGTCATTAAAAATCTGGGTACGTTTCAGTGACTGCAATGTGCCCTAAGGACAAATATGAATGAGTCAAAAATTTACTAGTTTCACATACGAAATATTAACTCTTGTTGGAAAAACCAAGAAAAGAATGCCTCCATTTAAGATTTCCCAAAGACGGGGCACCTGGGTGGCTCAGTCAGTTGAGCGTCTGCCTTTGGCTCGGGTCAGGGTCCCAGGGTCCTGGGATCGAGCCCCACATCGGGCTCCCTGCTCGGCGGGAAGCCTGCTTCTCCCTCTCCCACTCCCCCTGCTTGTGTTCCCTCTCTCGCTGTGTCTCTCTCTGTCAAATAAATAAATAAAATCTTAAAAAAAAAAAAAAAAAAAAAAAAGATTTCCCGAAGACCTATTCTCTTTATAAGGAAACCAAGCAAAGTGTGTCCCTTACCTCACCGGGTCCCAGTGTCGTCATCGCTAAGTTGTGACCCCTACTGCTTGGACTGTCTAATCAGACGTGCTCAGTGACTCCCCATGCTGGCCTACCGCACGAGAACCACGAGCCCCGAACGTCTGCTGTCCTCTCTACAGATCTGAACCCGATCCCGTGGGCTGGCTCCAGGGCCGGTGAGCAGAGGAGCTCCTGTCTCTGCACGGGGCCCAGAAACCTGGAGGAGACCCCGAGAAGCAGTGGAAGGACAGTGGGATCGCAGGGGCTTGTGTGAGAGGGCCTCCCAGGTCATCTGATGTCACCCCGACCGTTGCCAGGTGAGAAAACGGAGCCCAGAGGGGTTGACCGAACGCCCACTCATGTCAGAACTGTGCCCAAACCCAGCCCGAGCCAGGCCCCTTCCACTCAGCCGCTCGGCATCTCCACAGCACCAGCTTCCAGGGGCGCAGCAGTCTACCCAGAAGCTCCCCAGACAAACAGAGAAGCTGCCGGAAAGATCTGGTACCAACCCAGGTAAATTAAAAGAGAAAAAGAGAAAAAGGACAGCTTTCAAACTGGGTCTGGGAGTAACAAGATACTATGATGTGTTCGAAAGTGAAGACCTGAATCTTCACGGCAGCGTCTTACAATTTGAATTTTAAAATTCCTTTTAAGGTTTATTAAAGTTTGTATACGTTTAGGTATTTGAATCAGGAAATCAGCTTTCGACTGGACCAGGAAAAATTCCCCACTCTCGATCTGGGCGGATCCAGACGGCAGACTATCCGGACGCCTGGGAAAGCGGCTCAGCCCCTCGCGGCCCCGGAGTGGCGCGCGGAGCCCGGAAGGCGCTCGGGGCTCAGTCAGCCTTCCCGCGGCTGGAACCACAAGACCACGGCCGCTCCTAGCAGGTCGGGCTGGAAGTGAGGGCGCTGCCCACGTTACCTCTGTGCAGTTTGATTGGACAAGAAAAGTCCGAATCGAAGGGGTCGTCGTCCCCGGCGGCGAGCGTCAGGCCGAGCTCCAGCTCCACGCACTCGAACACGTACAGGGAGGGGACGAAGTCGGCCCTGGAGGCCCAGGACTTCTCCGACTATGAAAGAAGCAGCAGCGTCTCAGGCGTTCGCGTTCATCCACCCGACAGGACCCCCCACCTCGTGTCCTGACGAGGGGACAAAACGGCCTCTCTCGTGTCCGGCAGACGCGAACCAGGGTCCGAAGGGCCCATGTAGGGGCCACACCTCGGGACGGGCGGTGACAGGGAGCCCCTCCCGCTGTCAGTGCCCGCACCCAACTCACTGTCTGGTCGTCCTCCTCCTCCCCTTCCAGCACAACGCAGTGATACAGCACTCCCGACTCGGTGGCGATCACCAGGATGTTGGGGACGCAGGGCAGGCAGAGGATGGCGCACGCGTCGTAGCCGTAGTTGTCTTCCGCCGCAGGGTGCATGGGCAACGGGCCCAGCAGCTTCCCGACACTCCCGGGGCTGCGGGAACAGTGACACACGCGGGTGGGTGGCTCAGACCGCGCGTTCCTGCGGCCGGCCCACCCCGGCCATGAACGTGGCGCCGGGCGGCCCCGAGGTCTCCACGCTCTCCCGCTCGACTCTCACCCCCGGTGCTTTGCGACTGCAGAGAAGTCTGCACCCAAGAAGACACGGACAACGTCTGAAGACATTTTTGGTTGTCACCACGGGGGTGACGGGGGCGCTTACTGGTGCGCTGGGGCAGAGGGTGCTGAACGCTCCCCACTGTTCAGCTCAAACATCACCAGTGCGGAGGCTGAGAAACCAGGCCCCAAATCTAGGACGGTGCTTCCCTCGTCACGTCTCTAAGCTACCCAGTGACGACAGGCCCCAGGGAGACCCTCGCTGCTAAACCCACGGCCGCTTAGCTGCCCCGCGGCTGCACCTCAACATCTGCACCATCTGCCCCCGCTCCCCGTCTCTCCGAGCACACCTCTCGGGCCTTCTCTAACTTCTGTCCCTTGAAGACCGGCGCCCCCGCCCCACTCTGCACACCCACGAGAGCATACTCAACCACGCCTGCTTCTAACGGCTGCCTAGACCCTGCACTGTCTCTTCAGGGCTTCAGACCCAATGTCCACGTGGAGACAGTTACTGAGTGCTGGGGGGCGGCCCAAGGGACAGACATTCAGCTGGGGAAGCAGACGTGTAGCCAGAATTACCATACGTGTGCTGAGTGTGACAACGCAGGATTTACAGTGCGAGAGGAACACAGGGACAAAGACACTGAGGTAAGGGGCGCCTGGGTGCTCGGTCGGGTGAGCATCCGACTCTTGATTTCTGCGCAGGTTGTGAGACTGAGCCCCACATGGGGCTCTCCGCGCTGAGCGCAGAGTCAGCTTGAGAATGTCCCCTGCCTCTCCCGCTTGTGCTCTCCCCCTCTCTAAAATAAATAAAATTTTTTTCCTTAAGATTTACTTGAGACAGAGAAAGAGAGGGAACACGAGCAGGGGCAGAGGCAGAGGAAGAAGCAGCTCCCCACTGAGCAGGGAGTCCGATGCGGGGCTCAATCCCAGGACCCCAGGATCATGACCTGCGCTGAAGGCAGACACTTCACTGACTGAGCCACCCACGCGTCCCTAAATAAATTAAAAAAAAAAAAATTGAGGTAAAAAAGGTACCAAAAATAAATATGAGCAATGAGAAAGGGCATATTCTGGGAGGGGACTGTGAACACTCCAAGCTAAGGAGCAGCTCTGGAAAGTTCTGGAAGCATGGACGACCAGGACCCACAGGAAGGCGACTCCGCTTACTAGGATGGGAGGCAACGGATACTGTCTGAGGCCGCAGGAAAGTAGCCCAGGACTGGCGCAGGACGCGGGCGGTCTCCCTGCTGGGCGACGGCCATCAGCAGGGCTTTACATGGAGGTGACGGAGCTGTGCTTCACCAGGATGAATGTGACAGCAGTGAGGAGAGGACGTGGAGGGACAAGTGGGATTTGGGCCGCTGGTGAAGAGATGAAGGATCTGGGCAAAAGACGAGGGTCCAAAGCCAAGACAAGGGGTTGGAGAGAAGGGGGTTGGCGTTCCAGGAACTTTTAGGGTAAAATCAAGAGAATTTGGGACTGGACTAGACTGGACATAAGAGGATGCAGAAGGCGCCCGGCCAAACAGTGGGAGGCTAATGGTGTCAGCACAGAAGCCCCCAGACGGGTCCTGTGTGAAAGGCGAACGTTTGGGTCGAGCGGAATCCGAGGGGAGTGAGTCCTCACGGCCCCGCCACCCACGAGCTCTTCACCTTTCTCACCTCATGGCTCCGCTCACCCTCCTGTCCCCTCCACCCCCGGGTCTTCCCGTGGATCCCCCCGGTCCAAGCGCCTGCGTTACCAGCGTGCTGGTGTTGCCAGCCAGGCAGGCGAGCACGGCCCCCGCCCCACGCCCGCAGTGCCGCGCCCGGGTCTGCTGAGGGAGCGCCAGGGGACAAGGGGCCACACGCTGGGCCCTGGATCACTGTCCGTCGAGACGACTTAGGAATGAAGCACAACGTTCAGCCTCTGGCCTTAGGCCTTTCTGGTTACAAACTTGCCCCAAATTCTTATCCTCTTGCCTCGCCCACCGTGACGGGGGAGCCTCAGGTCTTTATCTTCAGCATCTGCCTCTTCTCCCGAGGCCTGCGTTTCCAACTGTCCCCGGTGCATCCCCACGGTCTTGTCCAACACGGGGTCAGTCGGGCCCTCGGTAACAGCACCACCCGCCCCGCCGGCAGCCGGCTCTCACGGACCCTCCCTCTGCACCGCCTGCTGCGTGCACCTCCGCCTTTGCTTCCGAACGGCCCCACTCTGAGGCCGCAGCTGGTCAGCCAACGTGCGGCGCGGCGACTTCAAACGTCTCTGCCCCCGTGCGTCCCTTACCGACCATCTCACCGTTCTGCTTGGAAGCCATCACCGGCTCCCCACGGCCCTACTCCTACAGGAAAGACCCCGTGTTCCCTAACCGGCTGTAGAACTCCACCACGTTGTCCCTGGGCAGCCCCTTCTAGCTCCATCACCTGGTGCCCTGTACCTGAAACCCTGCCCCGCCACAAATGTCTCATCGCTGAGCCACGAGTGACATGTGCACCCACCTGACGCGCCCTTCCCCAGCCCTCGGCGATCCCGCATTAGACAGGCGTCCCTCTCCACGAAAACGTCCCTACCTCCTTCACTGCGATCCGTCTCTCCCTCCTCTGAGCACTGTCTCTGTGCCACTAACGTGGTTTGGGCACGTGGCTCTTCTCCCCACAACTGGGACGTCTGACACCAGACTACCCTGTCTGCCCTTCCCCGCGGTGCCTCGTTCACGTGCGATGCACCGACTGTCTGGTCGACGGCGAGGAAGTCACAGGCCGAAGGATCGGTACCACGCAAACCAAGCACTACAGGGACCCCGCGTCCCCCGGCGGCAGGGGCGCCCCGGGCAGCAGACGGCCGCCCCTCACTCACCTGTGTGCCAGGCTGACGTAGGTGAGGAAGGTCTCCCCGTTCTCATACAGGATGTACAGCGGGTGCGCCGCGACTTCCCCTTTGCCCTTCTGCCCGAACATGCTCTTCGGGACCGCGGACAGCGGCCCGAAGTCAAACGCAACTGCTGTCTCCCCCAGAGACGCGGTATATGCCCTCCTGAAAAGACATTGAAAACCAGCCTGTTGAAAATAAAATGTCCAGTAACAGGAGGTGGGCATGGAATCTGCATTCAGTGGAGCAAAAAAATCACACCCAAACGACAGAAGCGTCAAACCCTACAGCGCGGCTTCCATCTTCAGCAGCTCAAACCTGCAGACGCGCGGTAAAACCCCGCACAGAGACACGCACGAACCCGAGAGGAAGGGAGCGGGAAGACCAGCTCTGAGTGGGGGAGACGGTCCTTCCACGAGCGTCCATGAAACACCTGCCCTGAGCAGGCGCTGCTGCACGTTCTGGAGACACATCCGTGAACCTGACAGCCCCGCCCTCGCGAGAGCGACAAGACAAGACAGGAGCACAGGACGTGGCGGCAGCAGATGCCAGCACGGGAAGGGACGCGTGTAGGCGGCCCTGAGCGATCCTTCGGCCCGAGCGGCCTGGGAGGGACTCTGACGGGCGAGATCTGAGCACAGACCCGAAGCACCGACGGGAGCGGGTCTGTGGTCACGTGGCAAAGCACAGGCAGAGAGGCTCCACGCGGGCAGGGCGGTGCTGAGAATGAAGGGCAAGGAAGCCGGGGCGGCTGAGCCCGGGGCCAGGGCAGGAGAGGGGCCGCCTGCGGGAACTCAGTGCGCTGGGGCAGCAGGGACGCAGGGCCGCCAGCTTTATGCCCCAGGCGTCCCTCTGGCTGCTATGGGGACATCACAAAGCATTTCATTTTCTTCTTAATATTTTTCTGTAGGTATTCCCTGTGTTCTACAATAAATACATGTTACCTTTGTAATTACGAAAAACAAGTGATAAGACATGCTGCTGTCTTTGTATTTTAAAGTTTAGTATAACTGTCATCCAAAAAGATTCCAGTTGCCTGCAAGGTTAATAAATACGGGTGTGTGCTCACACCACCAAAAGCATGCCGGTCAGCGATGGAAGAACCGCGCAATCTCTGTTAAAACTGCATCTGTAATCCCAATAAACTACCGGAAAATAACATTTCAGAACACGAAGAACAACTTACCCTTTATTGAGTATCAGGCTTTCCTCTTCGGCTTCGGAAAGCACAATGACCCTGGCGGGGGTCTGAGGCTCTCGCAGAGAGTAAATCCTAGCGAGCGAAGGAGGAGAGACCCGCACTTAGAATTCTTTCATTTCAGAACTGCCCTTCCCCTCCATCTAATCACTGCTTCAGCATTTTCCTGCCCGTCTCACAACCATTTCTTTGCCACAGAGCCTGCTCTTCCTGAGAGAGCAGCGTACTTCGTCTGTTCTTTCACAGCGTAAGAGCAGGGTGTCCGGGGGACCTCCAGAAATACCGTGCGTTACCAAAGTGCCTCCCGGCCTCCTGCACACTGCGGCACCCCCGTCTCTCCCAGCCTGAGCCCCCGGGCACACTAGTGCCGTCCGGACGCCGCCCGACCGGCCCGAGTGGGCCAGCTCCCCGGTACTGCCTGTCTCCGCCCGTCACACACGAACCTCCTCGGAGAGGAGCCCCACTGCCCTCTATACACCCACAGGCCGCACAGAGAGGGACGTTTAGCCCCCAGTCTGCACACACTGTTGTTACACAAAGACGCAACATCACGTCATCCCTACTTTCCCAAGGGGGAAGTGTAAAACGGGAGGTTTTTTTTGTTTTTTACCAACATCATTTTAATTTAAAATAACAAAATTTCACGGCACGTGGCTATACTTAAAAGGAGAATTTTCAAAAGGCCAAAAATATTATTAGCAATCCAACATCGCTTATAAAGCCCTCATCAAGTTAATCACTTTGTCTGACCGCCCTAAGACACTTTAAACTTCATTAGTTCCATTACCAGTAAAATGCCATTTAATAGATCTTTTTAATGAAAATGTGATCCAACTGAACACACACACCACGGTCTTCCGCCGCTTGTAAGCAACACTGACTTCAAAACGCACATAAACGCTGGACAGGACGCACTATAGCGGGGGGGTGAAAGGAAGAGCGGGTGCACCGGGTGGGTAGGGAGATCTTGATGCCCAGAAACTGTCAACAGGGTCCAAAGCTTAGGAGAAACAATAACTACCCCATATTTATTTTCATTTTTTATTTCTTTAGAGAGTAGGAGGAAGGGACACAGAGAGGAAGAGAAAGAATCTCAAGTAGACTCTGCACTGAGCACAGAGCCCGACATGGGGCTTGATCTCATGACCCCGAGATCACGACCTGAGCTGAAATCAAGAGTCAGATGCTCAACTGAGCCACCCAGGGCCCCGAGTACCCCATATTTAAAAAAGAACAACCTTCAACAGTTGAGACCAAATACCTCCTTTTAGGCATAACTCGGGAAGATCTTGGCCTGCGCCCTTTCCCACCACCCCTTTCCTCAGCACATATGAAAGGAAGACCAGGGGAGGGGCACCTGGGGGGCTCAGTCAGCTAAGCGTCTGCCTTCAGCTCAGGTCATGATCCTGGGGTCCTGGGATCAAGCCCCACACTGGGCTCCCTGCTCAGCGGGGAGTCTGCTTCTCCCTCTCCCACTCCCCCTGCTTATGCTCTCTCGCTCGCTGTCTCTCCCAATAAATAAAATCTTTAAAAAAAGAAAGAAACAGACACAGACCAGGAGAGGGAGCGTCGGGAGTCCTTCCGTATACACTATAACCTCTGTGGCAGGAGGGCGTCCCCTCCTTTCTTTAGCCCCAACTCCAAAACCAAATGGGTGGGGAGTAGATACTTGCCAGATTTAGAGGTGCCTGTAATGAGGGGAGAAGGGTGTCTCATGTCCTAGCTGAATCCAGCTGTGCTGCAGGAAACTGCAGGCCCCCAGGTAAGGGATCCCCGAGTG